AAAGTTTTCGATGCTTTTAGTCCCATTCTTTGTAACTGCTTTCCAATTTGGTCCCCAAAGTTAGGGAATATAAAAAAAACAAGAAAAGAACATTATACTAAACCAGAGGACAAAAGAGATCAGGAAAGATTAAATGAAGAGGCTTTAAATGAAGAGGCTTTAGAAGCTAAGGTATCAACTAGTCAGTCTCTCTTAAGAAGCATTCATAAAGACAAAGAAAGCAAATAGACCTGCTTCTCTGGACTTAAATTTTGAGTAAGATGGAAAACTGGTTGAATACATAGAAATGAACAAATAAAGTGATAATATCAGCTTAGGGCTCATATTAGTAAAGGAAATATTAACTCAGATATATACACTCTGGACTTTAGATAAGCAGAACTTTTAAAACTCTAAGAAATATTTAATTACATTTACTCAAGTAAGTATGGCTCAAGTGGAATGAAAGTTAAAGATATTAAAACCTGTTTATTATGCAAAAATAATTTCAATAAGCAAAACAAGACTGTATAAGATGGTCTGCATTTTAAAATACCATGTACAAATAGCCAAAATAATCTTGAAAAGGATAACAAATTTGGAGGACTCATGCTTCCTGATTACAAAACTTACTCTAAAACTTTAGTAATCAAAGCAGTGTGGTACTGGCATAATGACAGACATATAGATCAATGGAATAGAGAGTCCAGAAAGAAAACTGTGCACATATGGTTAAATGATTTCTTGGCAAAGGTTACAAGACCATTCAATAGGAAAAGGGCAATCTTTTCGACAAATGGTGCTGGAAAAAACGGGTATCTGCATGCAAAGGAATGAAGTTGGACCCTTACCTAACACCATATATAAAAACGAACTCAAAATGGATCAAGGACCTAAACATAAGAGCTAAAAGTATAAAACCCTTGGAATAAAACAGAGGAAAAGCTTCACAACATTACTGCATTTGGCAATGATTTCTTGGATATGACATCAAAAGCATATGCAACAAAAGAAAAAATAGACAAACTGGATTTCATCAAATTTTTAAAAATTTATGCATCTAAGGACTTTACCAACAGAGTAAAATGGCAGCCCACAGAACGGGAAAAAGTATTTGAAAATCACATATCTGATAAGGTTTGACATCCAGTATATACAGAAGACTTCTAAAATTCAACAACAAAAAATTAAACAACCGACTGAAAAATGAGCAAAGTACTTATTTACCTAAAGAAGATACACAAATGGCTAATAGCACGTGAAAAGATGCTCAACATCACTAATTGTTATGGAAATACAAATAAAAACCACAATGAGATACCACCTCACATCCATTAGGATGGCTACAATCAAAAAAATAGGCTGGGCACAGTGGCTCATGCCTGTAACCCTAGCACTTTAGGAGGCCCAGGCAGGATCACTTGAGGCCAGGAGTTTCGAGATCAGCCTGAGCAACAGCAAGATGCCATCTCTACAAAAAAAAATACAGAAAAAATTAGCAGGACATGGTGGCATACTCCTGTAGTCCCAGCTACTTGGGAGGCTTAAGCAGGAGGATCACTTGAGCTCAGGAGTTTGAGGTTGCAGTGAGCTATGATGATGCCACTGTGCTCTGGCCCGGGCAACAGTGTGAAACCCTGTTTAAAAAAAAAAATCTCTTTGATAAGAGAGGAGGCACATCTTTGGCTGGGTGTGGTGGCTTATTCCTATAATCCAGGTGCTTTGGGAGGTCAAGGTGAGAGGATGGCTTGAGGCCAGGAGACAAAAAAACCCAACCAACCAACAACAAAAAAACACCCAGAAAATAATTGTTGGCAGGGTGTGGAGAAATCGCAACTCTTGTGTTGTACAGTGGATGGCAATATAAAACAGTGCATGCAGCCATCATGGAAAACAGTATAGCAGTGATTCGAATTTAAAAATTATCATATGCAGCAATTGCACTTCTTGGTAATACCAAGAATTAAAAGCAGGGTGTTAAAGAGATACATACTTGTATACCTATGTTCATAGTAGCATTATCCATAATAGCCAAAAAGTGGAAGAACCCAAGTGTCCACTGACGGGTAAATGGATAAACACAATATGGAATGTACACACATGGAATATCATTCATCCTTTAAAAGGAAGGAAATTCTGATGCATGCTACAACATGGATGAACCCTAGGGCATTATCTTAAGTAAAGTAAGCCAGTCACAAAAAAACTGTATGATTCCACTTTTACCTGGAGTACCTAGAATACTCAAATTCGCAGAGACAATAAGTAGAATGGTGGTTGTGATGGGCTTGGGGGAAAGGAGAATGGGAAGTTGTTACGTAATAGGTATAGAATTTCAGTTTTGCAAAATAAAAAAGATTTCTAGGTATTGATTGCACAACAGAGTCAACATACTTCACGCTATTGAACTGTACACTTAAAATGGTTAAGAAGGTAAATTTTAAGTGTATTTTACAATTAAAATTTTTAAATGATTAAAGTTATTCAAATAAACTTAGAAACCAGATACTTAAATCATTGTGTCAAGTGTTAAAGATTTTCAAAACTTAGCACAGTATCATTAATCACACTGCACTTTAAAAAAATTAGAGCACAAAGGTTTTTAAACAGTTATTAATAAAGAACTATACTTAAAAAACCATGGATAAAATATGAAAGATATACATGAAAAATAATTTTGAAATAGTGATGAGTTCAGGATTTTGAAAAAAACCTAAAATTTAAGTTTTATGATGTAAATAAGAATAAGGAAAAGACTAGAAAAACTAATGTAAGGTTAACATACATCCAAGAGAAGAAATGAATACTCAACGCTTATCTTTCTTCTATATCCTTTCACAAGAAAAATAAATCTTTAAACCCAGCTGTCTAGAACAAATTAAAGAAGAAACTATAGCTCACTACAGGGGAAAAGATGACCTTATTATATTATTTCCAGGATCTGGACCAAGAGAAAATATATCACTAAAGTACTTTTAGTTGTAATTAGGGCACTGTTGGCAGTTTTAGTGAAAATAATAAAAGTGGAGGCAGTAGAGATGGGTAAATGCTACCTTTTCACAAAAGAGAAAACATAGATGTTTAGAAATTGATGATTGTAGACCACTGGGAAAAACATTTGCTAGCCCTAGATAAACATTTTGAAAAGCCTTAAGGAAAAAGCATTTATCATGAGAAACCAATCACCAGTGTATTTTTCTGATAATTAAATTAGATGCTTAGGAAATTCTGTAGATATGTTTTAACTTGATTTCAACAAAGTATTTTAGCTCTTAGAAGGTAAAGGATAGGTAGGTTTTATTTAATTCTAGAGTCCCAGTACCTACCATAATCCCTGGAACATAGCACATCCTCAAACACATAGATTTATTGATTCTACTATAGGCTATGTTTGGGAGGAAACTGGGAAAAAATAATCAATGGAGATATAGTATACTGAGGTGGGTGGATAGCTGATAAAATCATCGTACATAAAGGACTTCTCTTAACTGAAGGAATGTCTTAAGAATATTATTTATCACAGGTTCTGTATTTCACATTAACTTGTTAAAACATTCCGGAAAGGTAAAGATATACTGATTAAAAAAAACTGAATAAATTACTAGTCACTAAGCTCCAGGTGGGTAGTATTTGTTTACCCAAACTATAATATAGTATACAACACTGAATAAATGATGGACAAACATAAAATTTGATAAGGTCAGCAAAATTATTAAATGATAAAATCAGGACTCAAAATTGTCAAAGCTGACTTTATATTAAAAAGGTGTTTCTTTCTACATTATAGTCATTACTTTCCAAATTTTTTTTAAAAAGTCAAAGAAAATATTGTCCATAGGACAAAAAAGAGGAAAAAAGGAAACAAAAAACACATTTATCAGATTATAAAGCAAATATTAAACTCTGCCTTTAAAATATTCTTTATGTCAAAAACAACCTAATTTTATGCCTAATAAAACCCTTTAAAAAATCAAAACAGGATAGTCAAAAATATTGGAAAAACAAAAATTAACTAGAAGTAGCACCAGGAATATTAGAAAAAAGATTAAGACCAAATATACATACACATATACATAACAGCACAACAGGAGTAATTTTATATTGAATTAAAAAGGTACACTTTATAGAAAAGTAAAATAATTACATCATTGCTTTTTGTAGGTCAAATAACATGTAAACAACAAATCAAAGCATTATAATAAGGATAAAATGGCATTTATGGGGCCAACACTTAACAAAACATTTACCAAAATCATACCTGGCCCTAAAATATTAATAAATCTTAAAAGTTAATAGTGAGCAGAAAATAATATGAAAATAAACAAAACACTCTCCCCTAAGTACCTACTAAATCCAAAGTACGACAAACTATTTGAAAAATAATGAGAAAGACTACACATCAAAACTTATAAGATGTGGCAAAATAAATCATTTTTAATTACTAAATGGTTTTAATTAAACATCAAAAATATATGAAATAAGAATTCAACTTAAAGAACATAAAGACTCTTTAAAGAAAACAGTAAGAAAAAAAATGAAAGAAAAGCTAAAATTAAAACACTACAAAAGAAAAAACCCCAGTAATAGAATACATGGAGGATTCGTGTTTAAAAAGTATTTATAGTCACTGCTTAAATCCAATTTAAATGTTCTTCTTTTTAAAAGTTGCCTCATTTATGGTAAAACAATATAATCTAACATAAAATGAATATTGGCAAAAACTGCTAACATATAATAATGCTAACATTTTTCAAATTGATTAATATCTAATAAGAACTATTATTTGATTGTATATTGTTCACCAGGCACTGGTTAAGGGCTTTGCATTTATTATTTATTTAATCCTAAAGATGACCATAGGAGGTAGTTACTATCATTGTCCCCACTTTTTAAATGAAACAGGTTTAGTGGGCAAATAGCTTGTCCACACAGGGTCAGTATTTCAACCTGAGCAATCTAATTCTGAAGTTTGTTCTCTTAAACCTATTTGTTATGCTACCTTAGGCTATTTTCTCAGGTCAGTCTACCATGTACTGAATTTAACATAGGCAAATTTTGCAAAAATTGCATTAAAAATCTCTAAGTATTAAATGTAGAGTGTTAAGTGCATAGTAAGAATCTAATAAATTACAGAGAAAACCACATTTCAGGACTCAAACTCATTAACAATCTGACAAGTTATTAGACAGTTCAGCAACATGATTATATCTTTCGCTGCTAAAATATGCAAGAGCATTTTAACTACTGTTAATCAGCAGACAGCAGCTGAAAGAAATTATTCAAACTCTGCAACTTCTATCTTGCAGTTGCCAAGTAACTCATTAGATCTTTCAGATTCCTTCTGGAAAATGATACATTTTATAAATACCTTATAATGAAGAGTATTTACCTGATGTTTCTAAAACTCTTGGTTCAGGTTCTTCCAATTGTAGAAGCTCATCAAGAGCTAATTTTGCTGCATTGGATCTAGATTCCTTTTTATTTTGTCCCAGTCCAGTTTTGTATTGAATACCATCTACCACAGCACAAAAAGCGAAATATGGTCCCATAACATTACCTTGAAAAAGAATTCAAAATGAATGCTATAATAATTCACAGTATATTCTTGCAAATGATGTCTGTATACAGGAAAACATTTCAGTACAAAAATTCTGGGAAACTACTTACTTTAGAAATACTAACTCTTAAGTCTTTTTGTAGGACCAATAGGGTTAAAACTAAAGCCGGATGGGCCCCTGAACTAATTTTGGGATTCCAGTAGGTAGGCTGGCTCTAGATTCAGTGTGAACAATAGGGACAATGTTACAACACAGGTCATACATGGGGTGACAGTGTCTAGTACAATGCCTGGCAATTGTAAGCACTCAAATGTGTATCAAATGACTAATGAAAGGTAAAATGTGGAGATTGTATGTAATCTCTCAGTTCTTTAAAATTTCAGTACAGCTTATTAAGTTAAATGTTTCCCATCCTCGGATTGCTCTAATACTTTTTATAATATCCAGAACGTAAAGAATTCCTTTGAAAAAATCTTGTGTACCCATCAGGGCATTATGTTAAGGAAATCGACAACCCATTACAGCTTAGGGAAGTTTGGGGGGTGGGTTTGGTGGCTAGCACAGAAGGAAAACCAAAACATAAACAACAATTTAAAAAGATTAATACTAAAGAATTAAACTGAATGTCTGTCTGGTCATTCAAGATTTCTGTAAGGATTACTTTTGCACAATTATTTTTCTTTAGCTTTCATATTTGTCTGGTGAAAAATGAAATGGACTCATCTCCTAAATTTACAGGTCAAAGATTTTTCTGTTTCAAGTTTTATTTGTTGGTATTAGGACTTTAGGAGGCCTTTAGGAGCCTAAGTTTCATTCTGGTTACAGATGGCTAGGTACAATGTCATTACACATAAAACCCACTATTTCCACACATATTCACAATAAGATTAACTGTTTTTCTTAAGACATACATCAAGGTTTTACAAGTTAAGTTCTGACTGCATCTGGGTAAATTGCCTTCCCTCCAACATCTAAGACCTTAGCTTCCCAATTTTCTTCCTTCATTATCACCTGGGTTCCAATCCAGATTTACTAAACCAGAGAGCATTTTGTATATTTAACAAGTGGCCCAGATGATTCTTATGTATAAGATGCATCAAATTTGTTAATAAGTCTTCTGTGTCAGAATGCTGAGCCTTTAAGCTTCAGCCTGTTTATAATCTAGGTTTTCAAACTTTAGCATGGATCTAAATCACATGTAGAGGTAGTTTAAAAATACTGACACTCTAGTCTTACTACGAAACTTACTGAATCAGATTATTCGACTATATTCCAAACACAAAATAATGATCAATGGGTTATGTTTTTGAATAGTTTTTGCTCAGAGCAGTGAAGATTTGCCCTGTTTTTTTTTTTTCCCCAGTGACCAATAGCTTACATTTTCTGAGGGCAGTCCAAGAATAATGGAGGAAAGCTAAGTAGTTACACAGAGATTAAACTCACCTTCTACATTAAGAAAACACCACCTTCTACATTAAGACCCTCTTTGTGTCACCTGTTAGTCTTCTGGTATCTCATCCAAAACAACAGACTGAAACTTGATGATGTTGGGACAACCTTTACTAAAACTGATAGCTTTAAATTCCTTTGCAGATGTTAGCTTTGAGATCCCTACTGGCAAAAGTATCAGGAAAATTAATGAAACCAAAAGAACCCAAACTACTTCTGTGTATGTGTGTACACACACACGCACGTACATATACCCACATACAGATTTTTTAAAAAGATTGTTTTTGACTCATACTCTTGAGCTGTCAACGCCTCCTGAGAGCACTTACTCTCTTATTCCTCCATTTTCCTAAAGTTCTTCCTAATCACTGGCTATAATGTGAAGAGATCACAGAAACTGTTTCCTGCATTTTACTGATATGTACTCCTGTAGCCATCTGAAGGCACAACATAGTAACAGATTCGTCCGTTTGGGGGGCTTAAGGGAGAACGGAGAAAATGCTAACAAACAAGTCCATATAGTACCAATCACGTAATGCTCTTTTCACATGTAATTCCTGAACTTCGGAAGCCAAATTTGACCCTAATTTTTCTTAGGCATCATCAGCATACCAGAATCCTTCTCATAAGATAATCATAGTCTGAATATTTAACATTTCTACAAAAGCATGTTTATTGTACAAGAAATATTTACAATCCCAAAATAATCTGCGAGGTAGATTTCGGTTTAGCTGAAAAAAATTATGATTCAATGATTATAAAATTTCTATATGTGAGAGTTATTTTCAGTGGCTCAAAAGGCGAAAGTGTGAATATAAAAATTTCTTAAGTATACTTGTAAAAACATACAAGTAGTCAGCTAACCCTAAAGTTAAGTGAAAGAACCAAATTTAGCACCACTGTTATGGTCTGCTTTTAATGGAAAATGTTTTCTAGTAACATAATAACCAAATGACTTTGCACTTGCCTGTTGTTACCGTTTCCTTAAGGTCAAGCTGAACCCGCTGCATTTGTGCAAACTGGTGCAAGGCTGACACAGGGTTTATCTCTCCACGTTTGTATTTCATTATAAATTCCTTAGGTATTTTTTTTGGAGGAAGGACAGGATTTGAAATAGATGAAAGACCTTTGGAAAGCAATGGTTCTGGAAAATTACCTAAAAATAAATGTCTGTGTTTGTCACTTTGGTTAAAAAAACAAAAACAAAAAAGAACAAAAGCACTAAATCCTCTCTGAAAATAGAAGATTGTCCCACATACATTTAGTCACCCCACATGCTTAGTCTCATGTTTTTCTTAAGTTTCTACTAAACAATTTTGGCACACATGACAAGCACAACCTGTTATTGCATATATCTCTTGGAGTACTAAAGATATTTTGAAAAAAAGGTTATATCATTATTCAGTGATCAAGGAATCATGGAATTTTAGTGATGTCAAGGTCTTCAGAGGCCCTCTAAGCCATTTTACAGATGATGTCACTAATGCCTAGAATGGAGAAAGACGCAGAGCTGGGACTAGAACCTAGTTTCTGGCTCCCATGCACTGTTTTACACCGCCTTTCACAATGAATTCAACCGAATTTTTGCCCTTGCTTTATACTCAACACTACGCTAAGTGACGGGTGGAATGCAAACCCATATAAATCCAGTTGCTGCCCTGAAGCCTCACCTCAAAAAAACAAGACAAACTTGAAGGGGTTGAACAGTAAAGGTGGTGAGGTATGGTTAAGTGAGCAGCACGGGGAAGGAGTTCCGCGGGCCTCCTCCGTGGTGGGAGTCAGATCCCAGCCCCAGGTGGGACACGGCCACCGGTCAATGTGTATACATCCAGGAAACATTTGAACCAGAGGCGCAACAGAACCTACCGGCCACCCTAGAATCTTAAGGAACCGAGTCATTATTACAAATGAAAGAGAAGTCGTACCCGTCACCTGCGTAACCTTGGATGCCATATTCGACAGGCTGTAACTTTCCGAGGAATAGGCTGCGGGTGTGGTTACCGTCTGGGCTGATGATTGAACTGGCAAGTTCTTTTTCAGCATCTGGGCAAAACTGGGGACCTGGGAACGCTGAAACCAGTCATTGTTGCCAGACATCTTCTCACCTACAAACATGATAAAATTATCGGAAAACGAAAAACAAAATACTAAGTAAACTAAAAATATTTAATCTGGAACAAACCCCCTATTTCCATAAATGGCTTTTTACACACACATTCACATGACTAGAGCCAAATCCCTCTTTAAAATGATCTCGGGACTGCTCTGTGAGTTTTAACAGACACGTAACTCTTTTCACCTGAACTCCCTCCCTAAATTCCGCTACCGAGGGGGAAATAAGGCACAGCGGTCCGTGGAAAAGCCCTTAAATCTACCCGGGGATCAGGAGAGACATCAGTAAGGTCAGGAAAAAAGAGAAAAAGAAACAAAAAATCATCTCGTCGGTGGCCTCACGAGTCCTGGCCCAACTTGCACCCACCGAGGCTGTCCTTTCCGCCCTCTTCGACGGACCCCGCCGCCAGGCAGGAGGGCAGCCGCAGGCCGGAAGCTCGCCGGCCGCCACCACCGCCGCCGCCGTTGCTTCCTCCCCCCGGCCTCAACCTCTCTCTTCAGGCCGGTCTGCGTGAGGGCCACGAGCTCAAAGGCGCATCCTTCAAAAGCCGCCTCGCGCTGCCCGTACGTGCCGGCCGGACGCCCCCGCGCCCGTTTCGTCCAATCAGCAACCGCCTCGGGGCCCGTCGGTCCCGCCCCCACGCCTGCGCCCGCGCTCGGCCCGCCGCGCTCCGCGGCCTGCGTTTCTGAGGGAGGAGACGTCGAACGACGCGCGCGTTCCAGGCTGCGTTCCAGGCCGCGGCGACGCCGACCGGCTTCTCTTGAGCACAGGGACCTGGGCCGACTGGCCGCCCTCCCTGCTGAAGTCGGACGAAATCGCGCGGTTCAGCCTCTTGGCTTACTGCCGGGCGCCCAGCCCCGTTCCCACAGAGGGCTCTGTGGCGAGTTCGTCGTCTCTATGGCAGTTGTCTATTCCTGAGGCCTCCTTACACAGGATGCTTGGAGGCGGCCCTGAGCGTGGTTTCAAGAAAATCCTTCCCTTTATCCCCATTTTGAGAAGGCGCCCGTGGAGAAGGCTTGTCCTTCACGGTGTCCTCCCTGTTTATAGAAAAAAACACCTCAGAGTTGCTGAAACTTGACCAGTGGAGCCAAAGAACAATTGTGAAAACAGGGCGTCTTTGAGAGCAAATGGCTTCAATCTGGGTGACAATGTGGGTGTTTTCAATTCTTTGCTTTCCTAAAAGTTGAAAGAGGCCCTAATTGAGGGTGTTAGCGGATAGATTGTTGGAAATATTTCTAATAGTAAATAATTCAACGAGTTTTGGCATGTAACCAAGAAGAAATCCAAAGAATTGAATGGCATGATTATAACAAAATTTCATTGTCCATCTACTTTTTTGTATGGATAAGGTTTCTCAAGGGTTAATTTTTTATATTTTGTATTTACTATTATTCTTTTAAGGAAGCTGGGAGCATTGGTGCGCACCTGTAGTCCCAGCTACTTGGGAGGCTGAGGCAGGAGGATCACTTGCGCCCCGGAGTTTGAGGTTTTTGTGAGCTATGATGACGCCACTGCATCACTCTGTCACCAGGGTGACAGAGACTCTGTCTCAAAACGGAAAACAAAACATAAAATATTATTTCAGCTTTGGCCATTGGGAGCTCTTTTAGGTTGGCTCCTGTGTCCTTTTGACATGTCCCCATTTTTTTTTTTTTAATGGGTATCTTTACTTTCTGGCACTGTACGATGCTTGCATTTTCCCTTTCCCAGACCTAAAATTGGCCAGGAAACCTTGGTTACTTTTATTAGAGAATTAGAACTGGGCAGTAGGTGTGCTTGTTGCTATTGCGGGTATCCAGTGCTTATATGCCTGTGCAGAGGAGAGAGCTAGGAAATATATTTGTGTATACTAACTCATGTATACACAGATATCAACATTTTTGTATCTACCTATATATAAAAATGAGTTTTTATGTGTACCTTTGACTGTAATATAGCAACACAGTATTCATCATTGCTTTCCCCCTTTGTGATTTCTTTGATGATGAGAAATCTGGCAATATCCAAAATTTGTTGCAGATTGGTTAATCTGTATCGTTGTGGAAAACAAATTTACCAGTAAGTGTATTGTGTTTCTTTTTTCTTTCATCTTACCTAATCTAGTCAAAATTCTGTTCTCCAGAGTTACTTAGGGCAGTTATTTATTTACAGCTAGTGTAAGATATAGACAATGAAAAAAATAAGTAAAATTATATAGTGTGTTAGTGAGAGGTGCTAAAAAGATAAAGCTGCAAAGGGGGATATGTAATATTTATAGGGAAGTGAGTTGACATTTCAGATAGGATACTTAAGGAACGCCTCACTGAGCAGGCTACTGCCAAAGACCTCAAAAAATTAATCAAGTTACCTGGCTCGCTCAGCTTCAATTTGTTCATCTATAAAATGAGCACAATATTATTCACTTCAGACAGTCATTGGGAGGAATATATTAACTGATAGTTACAAACAGCTTAGTAGTGCCTATTACCCAGTAAATACTTGGTATTATTATTTTATTTCATATATGAATTAGTGCTAAAGTTTTAAGAAAACTTGTAAATACTTGTTACAGAATTTAACACACAAAACTCACAGAAGTTGAAAATGTGGATAGGTGGCAGAACCCTCATTTATGCGGCTGATCACAAAGGCTGTTGTTAGAATTTATGATTTACCCCCCACTGCACCCATCCCATGTTAGTCATTAGTCCTGCTTAGTCTTTGCCTCAGATGATTGAAACTTCTTATTCAGTGGAATAATCTGTGAAAAACCATGAAGGGTTTGAGATTTTACTCTATTTGAAAGCTTTCAAGTTAGCCTGCCCCAGTTTCATGGATGCTGGCAGAAGACATGAGAGCCCTGTGTTAGAGACTAAGGAATCTGGTTATTCGCAGCATGATCATCAGCATGTTTGTATGGTTCCCCTTGTTCCCAGATCCCATGAAGGCAGCACATATGGTACCAGGTGATTGTTGTACACAGGAGACAGGAGAACGTTGTCCTCAGGGAACCCTAATCTTTTATAATAGAGACACTGTCTTCCAAAGATGTAGGGAAAGATTCCCTTTGCTCTAGGGGGAAATACTATCTCTAATATTGTTCGCTATACAAGTATCTTTGAAAATACAGTCCTCAATGAAGGGCCAGTAGTGTCTTGCTTGCAAGACAGAAATGGGAGAGCCCCATGGAGAATATCTTCCAACATAATCTTTGTTTCTGAGAGATGAACGTTAATGGGCATGCATGTGTGGTTGCTATACATGCTCTGCCACAAATTTAGAAACACTAAGAAATTGCTTCAGGGATCATCTTGGAGCCAACCACACTCCTGCCTGCTTCCTATTTTTGTTTTTTTTACAGCCCCAAAATGTATATTTAAAAAATTAAAAAACACATAGCCCCGCCCTCTCACACACACCTCCCCAAAGCCACACAACCCAGACCAAAAGGGAAAACAAATCAAACGCAAAACCCTCACACGCAAGTCGTCTTTGAATTAGCATTTACAAATATATAGATTCTTTCCTATGAAAAAACAAAAAGCCAAGGGAAAGGAAAAACTTGTAGATGAAGGCCTGACAAGACTCAGGAGTCATGAGAAGACATACTGTCTGCCACGAGAAAGCAAGGTCGCGATCTGTGTTGCTCATGCATTTTCAGTGGGAGGCCTAAAGTCTAACTGCTGTTCCCGACAATGCAGCGCTCCAAGGTTTTCCTGGCTGTATAGCAACAGCCCTTTTTCCCCTTGATGATTAGAACCTGTCATTGTAGCCAACACCTTTTTTAACAGTTCAGCTAGTTGACATCTGGAAACCCAAATGACTAGGTGGCAGCCTCAGATTCTAATTGAATGGTACAACTGTTGTGTCCCCAGTGGAAACATACCTTGAATATCCTAAGAGCTCTGGCCAGTAGAATTGGACAGAAAGCATACATTTGAAGGAGCTCATTAGGTATAACAGTGAGAGGTGGCATTTCCTCTTTCAAGTCTCACTTCCTGGACCCATGTATTCTGTATATCTTTCCCAGTTCAAGGAACCACTGAATCTTCAATAGGCTATTCCACCATTCTGTAAGTCCTTTTGTATCTGAGTAATGATAAAACTAGTGAAACCCCTGAGCATCAGCTTGATTTTACTGTAAGGTAGGTAAATTTTCATTCTGTTAAACAACGAATAAACAGGACCAGTAATGGTAAAGTGTTTAAACAGAAAATTACTATTTATGTTTGATGCTAAGGGGTCAATAAATATCATCTGCTTCCTCCTTTCCATAGGTTGAAACTGAGAGACCCAGGTATCAGAAACATGGAGGCTGTAAAAAAAGATTCGTTACTTATTCTAAATTGGAAGCCGTGGCTCAGATGTGTGGCCAAATGGAATGCTTTCTAAATAGACACTCTAACCAGTGCAAGCTAGAGAAATCCTGTTGCTCCTTACAGCATGCATAAGACAGGAAATCAGAATTGCATCCTCCTTATGGGAAGGCTTGCTTGAAAGGGTGAAAAGTGGAAAAGGCTAAGCTCATTTTCTTCTCTGAAATTACCAAACAGATTAAGTCACTTTGGGGGAGGAATAAATAAGGTAGGGAGAGAAACTGGGTTATCATTCTGGTGGAAATTCCTCCAAGTGGAAACACAAGGTCAGGGAAAAGGAGCTTATCAAGGAAAATTAATTTAGCAACTTTTTTTTTGTTTATCTTGTGCGATTTCACTTGGTGAGTGACTTGATCTGATCAGTCAACCTATATTCATTCTGAGAGCCCAAGCTTTGTTATTACCTCCTGATGTCTCTCCCCAACATGTAGACGTCTGGGTGAACACCTAACAACCCACCTGATAGCATTTGCTCTGTTAGGTGCTTTTTAACAGTATCTTATTCCAAAAATGCCTTCCAACATCTGATAGTTCTGTGAGAGCTTTCCTAAAGGTCTGTCTCATATCATGATCTGAACAAGCTGTTTGAACCTGAGTGCAAAGCCTTTCTGGGAGTTGGGTTGCTTGACTCTCTGGCCTAAACAGGTGAAGCAAATGAAACTCACAAAATCAGAATTTAATTATTGAGTATTGATCAATTAAAGATTGTGTAGCCATCCGTCAGACAATTTTAGCTAAAGATACTCTATGCCTGAGGTCCCAAATGAAAAAAAAATAGAGGTTCTCCTTAAGTGATTTTAGAATATGTCGCTAGTGTGACACAAGGAGGTGAGTGGGCATCTAGTTCTGTATGCAGGAAGCACAAGCATTCTGGGTATGGCACTATCAATTTTCATAAAAAATGGCCAGTTCAACACAGGTAATCAGGTTTCTTCAATTAAACTGTAGAAGACATCACTATGGTGAAGATGGAGAACATTCTAAAGCAATTCTATTTACAGTGTGGTTCATGGAATGAGGATACTCCATGAATTGTTACTCTTCAACAGATACAGAAATTGAGTGTTTAGAAATTCTTTTTTTTTTTTTTTTTTTTTTGGAGACAGAGTTTGCTTTTGTTGCCCAGGCTAGAGTGAGTGCCGTGGCGTCAGCCTGGCTCACAGCAACCTCAAACTCCTGGGCTCAAACAATCCTTCTGCCTCAGCCTCCCAAGTAGCTGGGACTACAGGCATGCGCCACCATGCCCGGCTAATTTTTTCTATAGAAAAAATTTAGTAGAGACGGGGTCTCGCTCTTGCTCAGGCTGGTTTCGAATTCCTGAGCTCAAACAATCCGCCCGCCTCGGCCTCCCAGAGAGCTAGGATTACAGGCGTGAGCCACCGCGCCCAGCCTAGCATTTAGAAATTCTTATAGCAATTGACACAACACTTGGCTCTAATAATAAAATTGAATCTAATAATTAAAAATTTGAGCTTATATTTTATATGTCCCTGGATATTGTTATTTTTTTCATTTTGAATAATTTTTATTGTATTTTACAAGATTATTGCTTTGTGCTAGATGGGGATTTTTAAAAAATGGCTCTTCACTACAAATAGTTTCCAAATCACAGATCTCTAGTGAGCCTAGAAGTATAGTTTTTACATACAAGAGAACAAAATTTTTTAATTTTGTTATGTGTTATTAAAATTTAGAGATTATCTGGATGTATCATGTGATTTACTAGAATAGGATAAAGTACATGATACTAAAAAAAAAAAAAACTTTAAGTAGACCACCTAGAAACTTTATAATCTAGACAGCTGGCTGTACCTTTTTTTATTTAAGAATAAATTTTAGAGATCATCTCTGTGTTTTATAGCTGCACACTATACCAGTGAATGGATCTGTCATGTTTTATTTAGCCTGTCTTCTATTGATGGGCATTTGGATTGTTTCTAACCATTTATTACAAAGAATACTGCAATGAACATGCTTATATAATTATTTCACACATGCAAGTACTATATAGCCAGTAGTGAGACTGTTCAGTAAGAGATTATATGTGATTTCAATAGCTATTACCTAATTGTCCTTCACGGGAGTTGTACCAATTTACTTTCCCACCAGCAGTTCACAAATGTAGTTTTCTCATGCTTTGTACAACAGTCACAGAAATTTTAGATAGTTACAGATTTATTTTAATTTGTCCTTTTCTTTTATAACATTATCACAGTAAATGCCAGAGCTAGGGTAACTTTATACTTGTCATTTTTTGGTAGTCATATCAATAATATTGGAAGCCATGGGAAATTTTTATCATTCAGAACTATTGGCATACTGTTTCTTTGAAGCAGAGAATTAACACCTAAAATGGGACTCAAATACGGAACTAATTTCTTTAACTGATTTTTAGTTACTTTGTTTGATGAAGTAACTTACTGGCAGTATTATCTTAGACACTAGAAGTAAAGTATCTTAGACACTAGAAGTAAAGTATCATAGACACTTGAGGCAGAAGGCTCACTTGAGCCCAGGAGTTTGAGGTTGCAGTGAGCTATGACCAAAGTAGACATAGAATTTGCTTCTCTGGCAAGCTTGACCAATGGAATGAATGTACCTGTAGGCACTAACTATTGGGGCAAGCTTGGAGGGATGGGATTCAGAGATCAGACAGATGACAGGTAAGATGGTCTAACAGAAAGAATACAAAATTAGGATTCCAACACTAGGGTTTTAGCTGTGTTAATAAATTGCTATGTGACATTAGACAGCAAATCATAATTCTCTAACACTAGATATATACCTTTGGTTTAAGAACCTTGGTTCTTCTTGAGTTTTTATTGTTTAATCTGTCAGATAAAATTGTCTTATCTACCTAAATGCAAGAGTATGCACCAGAGGCTTTCTTGAGGTGTCTTCTAGCTCTAGATCCTTTAATTCTACTGTTTGCCCTATCTCTAAACTGACTGTACTGACTTGGCTAGATTTCCAACCTGACTTGTTATTAACATTATAGCTACCTTTGAGTGTTATTTTAGATTTTACTATTCTTTTTATTACATATGTACATATGTAATTATACATAACATTACATATCTTCATATGCACAAAATATATACATATATAAGGAATATAGTATAATACTAAAAATGAACAGCTATGTACTCACCACTAGCTTAAGAAATAGAACAACATCTAATATTGCTGAATCCTCTAGTGTGCCTCTCCCTGACTGCATCCTCCTAGAGCTGATTTTTGTAAGTACACTGGAAGATTGGCTCCAGGACCCCCCACAGATACCCAAATCCGTGCATGCTCAAGTTCCTTATATAAAATGGTGTAGTATTTGCATATAACCTACGCACATCCTCCCCAAAACTTTAAATCGTCTGTAGATTACTTGTAATATCTCAAACAATGCCTACACATCACTTCATGGATTTAACGTAGTACTTGGCACATAGTAAATTAAAGTTTTGCTTTTTTGGAACTTTACGGAATTTGTTTTTTTCCTCAGATATTTTCAATCTGCAATTAGTTGAATCCACAGATGTGGAACCCATGGATTCACATAGAGAAAGCCGATTGTCATATAAGTATTTTAACACAATTTTTAGAACTTTTGTAAGTATTAATCATCTTCTATGAAAACATTTGGTAACTGTGACACAGAATGGGCATGTAATAAGCTATCAAAGGAGAGAAAGATTCGAAACCAACTACAGACTGAAACCATTATTGTGACTTTATTACAATAATTACAAACAATATTTTAGTGGTATACAATCATATCACAATTACTCAAATTATATACAAATAGGTATTTATACAAGTCTACATTAAAAAAAAAGCAATTAATGACCCTCCAAAAATCACATTATCAACAAGATTTTTTCTAAAAGTTATGGCCAATAACAAAAAATTTCACAGTTACTCTGCAAATACTTTAAAGATGCAGGATTCATATTGCACATAATACAATTAATTATAAACCCTAAAGAGCAGATTTATATATTTTAATCTAGTTTTTCACAGAATTTACATTATCATGCAGTACTTCACTGTACATAGGATGGTGGAACGAGAGAATAAACAGGTTAACTTAAAAACTTACAATGGCCACAAAATTAGAATTATTTTAAAGTTACACTTAAAATTATTATACTAAAAAAACCCTCCAGTGTAATAAAACTTAATGGACACAATCATAATTTGTTCACAGATCAAGTTACTCTTTTAGTGTTCTTCTTTGTCTTTTCCTTTCTTTTCCTTTTCATCCTGTAGTGCAGTACCGAGCTTTTTGATTAGAACTGACAGAACCTTGTCCAGTGGGTCCATGACTCCTCTCTGAAGCCATTTAGGAATAGTAGTCCTGGCATGATGAAAGCCCAATTTTTGAAGAATATAATCAACGCCTACTGGATCAATCTTTCTTCCAGTCCAAGAAATTAATCTAAAATAATAATTACAATTATTAAGGAGTATAATGTCCTAGTACAGTCCTAAAGGTAGGTCAAGAACATCAGTAAGCCTCCCTAATACTCAAGACAAAATATTTTCAGTAGGACATTTGAATAATTAAGCCTATAATTCCTGGATTCACAATAATAATAGCATTGAAAAAATAATATATGTGTGATTCTAAGTATCCTTGACAACCTACCCAGCAATAGTGTTTACTGAATTTCATCCTGTTTATTTTAGGCCTTTTACATGGTCATCTTAAACATTTAAAAGGACATCTGGTTAATTTTAAAATATTTCACAAGCATGTGACACCACAGGGGGAATAAAAGCTAAAGTTTACTGAATGCTGTGTGCTAAACATGTTTGAAGGGAGATCAATTTTCTTCCTCTTTCTGATATTTCCTTCCATATGGAAGGAACAACAATCAGTGAATTACTCCTGGACTACTTCTGCCCCTGCATCGATGATTTATCTGATTGGCTGCGTTAACAGAGGAACTCAATAGTATAGTTCAGTTCACAAACTCAAATAGTTATAAGCATTTGGCATTAATTAACTCATTTAACCAATGTAACAACCCTATACTTTCCAGATTTTCCATGAGGCACCTGAGGCAGAGAGAGGAGTTGGCCTAGCAGTCAGCTACTGTGCAATGAAGCGGGGCCTAGAGCCAGAGCATGCTCTCTCTCACTATACCGTATTACTTAACTAGTTACTCTTGTTAGTTTGCTAAAAAATGAATATGGTAAGTATTATTCACTTGAAACTAAATTCATTTTATATTCAATTTAAATATATTCACTCTAAAAGATACTCAATTACATTATAATTAGATTTACAAATACAAACAGATTTTACAAAGAGTTTTCTGCATTAGAACCTTTTTTATTTTTTTTTTTTTTTTTTTTTGAGACAGAGTCTCACTGTGTTGCCTGGGCTAGAGTGCCGTGGCGTCATCCTAGCTCACAGCAATCTCAAACTCCTGGGCTCAAGCGATCCTCCTGCCTCAGCCTCCCGAGTAGCTGGGACTACAGGCATGCGCTACCATGCCCGGCTAATTTTTTCTATATATTTTTAGTTGTCCAATTAATTTCTTTCTAATTTTAGTAGAGACGGGGTCTCGCTCTTGCTCAGGCTGGTCTTGAACTCCTGAGCTCAAACAACCCACCCGCCTCGGCCTCCCAGAGAGCTAGGATTACAGGCGTGAGCCACAGCGCCCGGCCTAATATTTTAATATTGTTCCTGAGTATTCACACTGTAAATATTTCTCATGAGTATATGTATTTATTAACACCAAAATGTTTTGCTGATTGGTTACAACAGATTTTATTGACTACAAATTATTTACTAACACACAAAGTCACTACTTTCTGCTTATACAAGAGTCCACTGTATAATGGAAATTTTATTTTGGAATTATTTTGTGCCATAAATATGTCAAAATAACAACATTATCTAAATAAAATCTATATTAGTTATCAGATGTTGTGCTGAGGGGTGTAGTAGACCTTTTTGATACTATTTAAGGATTTGGACAGTTATAATTTGATTAACAAAGCAGATGAAAGGAAAGGGAAAAAATAGGAAGGCTTGAGTGTTTATCACAAACAAGGACACACAAAGGCAGTATACTAGTTATAGTAATTATTATAACTAAAACTAGAAAATACTTTTGAAATTTCGATATGAAAAGTTGATATAATTGGGCTGATGATTGTAGTAGATCATGACTCAGTAAGAGAACCCGAGTCTGACAGCATTAAACTGAAGATTTTAGGAATGGTTTTATATTACTCAGTATGCAGACAGGAGGACACTATGACACTGCAGGTTCTATTACATTGTCATATATCCAGTAAGAAATTATAATGTTTCCTTAATATGATGTATGACTTCTACTGCATCTTCCCAAATTAAGTAACAAAACGGTTTACTGTAGCTACCTCAACCTCCTGAAAATAACATTCTAGTGGGAAGGTGCAAAAAAATAGCAACAGTGGAAGTGGAGTTGTTCCCATATTTTAGTGACTGATAGATTGTCACACAGTGGAAGCCAATCAGCACCGAGTTATTCTGTGTTTGTACTTCTTTCGCCTTATCTAGAAACACTTACAAAGGAAGAAAGGAGGAGCAAAAATAGCAGTCAGAAGCTGTAGAGATTACAAGTGATAAACTTCTGAATATAATTTTTGGTAATCATATTTAACCTGCATTATTCATAATCACCTTTTTCTCATAGTAATCCATGAGGATATGGGTAAAATGTGTACATCCATTACTTACCTAAGAGTGGGTTCTAGATGCCATGTATTGCACATAAAATCTCTCCAGTCCACAGTAGTATAAGTGATGCTATCTTCTCTGTCTTTGTCAGAGGAATTGTCATCATGTATAATAATTGGACTTTTCTGTCCTGGTCGCGTAGATAAAATCCGAGGTGGAAAAATGGCTATAATGAAAATGATAGATTAATAGAACAAATATATACCTTATAAATTTATTTTAAATCATCGTAAGAATAGAAAATTGGCTCCATCTCTCATTTTATCTATGACCTGGCCAAAGCCTCATTTAATTACATTTCTTAAAAAGTAATATTTTAAAATAAGCCGTAAATAAATAATAAATATTAAAAAGTAATATTTTAAAATAAGCCATAAATACTTATTTATGTTATTTCTTGGAGAAAAACAATGTCAACACTAATGGTAAAAAATGCTTAGGTCATTTATTTGACAGCAGGGAGAAGGCACTGAAATTGATAGTTGTAGTTTTCCTAAAGAATGACTATAGGTAAATAATTTTTTTTTAAACAGCTTTATTGAGATATAATCCACGTACCATACAATTCATTATTTAAAGTATATAAGTCAATGGATTTTGTATGTTAATGGCTACGAACTTAGGAGCTCTTTATGTAAGTAGCCTTGTCACTCTTTATAGTGAATGCCCAAGTATATGTTTTATAAAAGACAAGTATACTAGGGCTGTCTGGAAAGCATCCAGCCATGGATACAATGGATACAATGACTGGATACTTTCTGGACAGCCCTCCTATACATAAAATTGAATCTGAGACATAAATAGCTTTCATATCATCTTATTTAATAAACATAGCATTTCTCTTAGGGCAGAAGTTTCAAGACAAACCGGACATAAAATAATCGATTAACTGGGTGATATGATATGCATTATGTAGCTTTGGTTATAAGTTGATTGGGAATGAGCCTAGGAATGAAGATGTATTGCCACATTGCATAAGAACACAGATCCTGCCTTTAATTACAGCCTTCTCAGTTGCTTTGCTTTTGTATATTATTAATGGTGGTTAAAGCGCTATAATTTATCTTGATGTTCCACAAACATGTTGATTCTAGTCTAGTCTTACATGCTGTTAAGAATTTTCTTAGGGATGTTTGAATATTTTGGCCAAAACTATTCTTCTAGTTTGTAATAACAAAATATTCTTACAGCTATTAAAATATCTTTATTTAAAACTGAAATCCTCATGGATAATAATACTTTGTCATTATAAATCCACTCCTCTTTTTTCCATGAATAATGTTTTAAACAGTTAATATTAAAATTTTTTTTTGTTGTTTTAGAAATACACATAGTTCATGGCAGGCCAAAACCAATATAATATTTTATAAAATGACAAAGTTTTCACATAAATAAGTAAATAAAATTTGGGAGGTTTTCAAAGCTAGGTGAACTAGAAAATCATTCTGAATTTCACAGGTTTATCTAGAATCTGTTTTTCTCTAAATTTAAATATTAAGGCAGAGGGGAAAATAAAAGATTACCAAGTGACTGGTATATGTTGGTGTTGTATGTGAAGACTGGATTTACTTTTATATAATACTGCCTTTTATATGGTTTCAGTACTTTTCCTTGAAGTTTCAACTAAGATCTGATAGATTTCTATCTGCCACCATTATTCATTTTATTCTCTCACTGAATTTTTGGTGCATCTTGATTGAATAGTAATATAAGAGCAATTTATTCTATGCTATACTACTTTTGTACTCTTTCAACATAGTCTTTTAATGATCTGTCTTTTGTTTTTGAAATAACTACAGGACAAATGTTATATTTTTTTCTTCGTGAAAAAAAGGAAACAATACTTTAATGTGGCCTGAACAAATTACATTTATTCCAAGTAATTTTTTAAGAATGACATCTGTGGTTTTACCATTGTATATTTACACCTGAATAATTATCCAATAATTGTGTAATACTTATTGAATAAATAAATGTCCATATATTTTGAAGCATTCCAAATTACCTCATTCTTTTAAATAGCTACAGAGTACTATAATGCATTCATCTAATTCCAGATAGATATTAAGGTTATCATACATTTCTTAATGGGCAAACTAAGTTTCCAGTGAATAAACCAATGTTAGCTATCTCATGAAAACAAAATACCACCACTGAGGCCTAAATAATTTATTTATAAAAAGAAAATGTTCTCTGCATACCAAGCAGACTTATCTTCTTATTCCAGTTTTCCCAATTATGCATATAACTCATGCTTCATTATGTAGCTCATAATGAAGTGAAATTAATCATTTCACTTGGATTTACAGTATTTCCTCACATTTTCCTACTTTGCAAGAATCTCCTACAAGGCCTAACTGAAAATATACATAACATGTATATAGAAATAGTATAAAACACCATTCAGTATGAGGTATGATTAGAAAAAGAGTGCTATGTATCTAGCAAATACTCAGAAAGTCTGTCACATACTATATTTACTTATATTTGCAACTCACAGGAGACATATTCCACTCATTTTCTCACTAGACCATAAAAATCCATGTAAATGGCATTAACAGCTGCCTTTCTTGTAGCTTGAAAGAAAACAAATTCTACCCACCTTTTTCTTTTTCTTTAAGATAAGCTGACACTAAATCATGAAGAAACATGATGAGCTCAGCATCCATAGTCACACAAATGTGGTCAGTGAACTCGGTCACCACACTACATTCTACTTTTGGCTTCAGGTTGGCATCTGCAATGATAAAGTTCTTTAATAGAAAAAATTTAATGAAATGAGTCCTTCTCTTCCTATTAATAAGGGTTTACATAGATCCATGTAAATGTAACCATTTGAAATAAAACTATAGAGAAATGAATAATTTTTGTATGGGATTATAGAATGATGATAGTTTATTAAGTACTTTCCTACTTCAGGCTGAAATGCTTGGGACCAGAAGTGTTTCAGATTTTAGAATATTTTGCATTATACTTACTGGTTCAATATCCCTAATCCAAAATCTGAAATCCAAAATGCTCCAATGAGTATTTCTTTTGAGCATTATTGGTCCTTAAAAAGTTTTGGATTTTGGTGCATTTCATGAAAGATTTTTGAATTTTGGATTTGGGATGCTCAACCTGAATATGCCAATTATTCCTCATAACAGCTCTATACATGAAGTCCATTATTCTTAATTTTACTGAGGAGAAAGAGGCACAGGTGCATTAAATAATTTGCCAGAGGTCATATAGCTGGTAAGAAAATCAATCAATTTGACCTAGAAAATGAAATGATTTCATTAGATTATATTAACATTACAGAAATAAGACGTGGGAAGGCAGTAGTATTTTGAAGTTACTTTAGTAATTTCTTAGTAACTTTAAATTGTTTCTTCACATACCCTGTAATGAAGGTTCCTGTGGTTCTTGAACATGAATGGATTTAAAGTCAAGCTGCATCCTTGGTAACGCAAAGATAGTCTCTGTTTCATGGTTGTAGCTAGAACCTCCTCTGAATCCACTCAGTAAACTGGAATTCTTCACAGTAGTGCTATTCTCTGTGTTATTAGCATCAACATTACGAAGTAGGTTTAGCTCTACATGCATAACGATAAAGACAATAAAAGTCAAATTAAATCAATAGGTATTGATAAGCCTATAGCCGTCAGGACAACTATGACACACAGAACTATGATCATTTCAAAAGTTGAAAAGAGTCACAATCAATCAATCAATCACTGTTGTCAAGACCAAAGCTTTATAATGGAGTTTGGATAAATCCAATACATCAGTACATTCTAGTTCTGGCTTCTTGGATATTAAAATGAATGCTATTCTCAACTGAATTCATGTCTGAACTTAAGTGTTTCATTAAGCCCAGAGGTCTCCATAGACTGAACACTTCCCTTTTAAAGAATTTGGGATTAAATAGGATCCTAACCTTGAAATTAGGTAGAAGTCCTAATTTTCTCCAACACATGTGCTATGATTACACTATAGATATCTTATAAAAATCAATATTTTTCTAGGTACACAGATAGTAGTTCATTAGGCTAACAGGCCTTCCAGAGTATCCCAGCCAAAAACACCCCTTCCTCCAAATCCCTATTTGGAAGGTAGAATAGTCAATACAAGGCATTATATTCTAATTTACTTTCTTATCCTCCTCTGTTCTCAGAACACTTTTAATAGTTCCTATTTAATTCCTGAGGTCATCTATTCCATGGTAACTGTTTTCCATGGGGCCCAAGTCCATTTTGATGGGCAGCAAAGCACTCTCTTTAAACTTATGACTTGATGGAATAATATTATTTAGTTTTATTTTGTTTCAGCCATGCTGAACTTTAAGTTTGTGGTATTCCATTATTTAGTTGTGTAATAACTTCCCCAAACCTCCACTTTTTAGCATTACTACAAAAATATTTTTCCAATGTTATTTTCCAAAAATTTCCAAAATATTTCCCCATAAACTTAATTTTGTTTACTTAAAAGCAATTTTATTTTGAATGTTTTCAGTTACATCTAAAATAATTTGAGTCTATGAGATGTACCATTACCAGGGTGGTGAATCATGTACTAAACAATAGTTACTTGTGTCAGCAGGAGCAAAATGAAAATTGTTTAAAGAAATGAAAACTCCACCTCTACTTGAACTCTCAACATAGTCAACAGAACCCAAAACAGAAAAAACAAACAAATTTCTCCAAAGACTAAAAAATTCAACCTTCATTCCTTGTGGCTGTAACATAATTGAACCATTCTTTCACACTTGCTACTCCATGGGGTGGATTTTCATGGCGGCGCCTTGTTATCTTGGTTATTGTCGCCATAGGACTTTCCAAAGCACCACATGGTTTGGTAACCATGGTGTTATGACCCAGATGAAAATCTAGTGTTTGTACAACGTATGTAGAATGTTCACTAGAGCCTAGAGCAAAAGAAAAAAAGATGTTTTTTAAAGTAAGAAACTATATTTCGATCCAAGAAAACAGTTGTGACCTCCTAGCAATAGATTTAGCTAAGTCATACACAGATAGGCTATGGTCATATGTAGCTAGGAAGGCTATAAAAATGAAGAATAAGTGAGCAAAAAGATAAATAATTTACAAATAATTCTTCTTTCTTTTAGTCATAATTGGATTTGTTCCCAGTAAGACGAAGAGCATCAACCATGTTTTCCTTCATCATTAAGAAACCACCGAATAAGAAATTAAAGCTCAAAGGAACTGAGTTCATCACTGTAATAGAGGCAAGAGCTCAACCTTGCCTATAAGTTTTATAATATAATCTTGATGGGCAAATAATTTCCTCACACTGCCACTATGTGTCTTCTCTTCATATTTACAGTAACTATCATCGTGACTATGGCCAGCCACAGCAGCAGGAACTTTAATTGCCCAAGTAAGAAACAGGGAGTAGAATAGAAAGTTCAGAAATAAGCCCTTTAACATGTTTCAGATATTATAGATATTGACTCATTGGCAGTGAACTCCTTAACATGTCAGATACATGAGAACAAATAGAGATGGACTTCAGAAATATCATAATAAAAACAGACAAAAGATATGAGAAGGGAAAATTACTTTCTTAAACAATCATAACAGAAGATAGGAAGAAGTAAAAGCTGGAAATGTGTCAGTTTACCATCTTCCCAGATTTTCTGAGCTTCAGTCCAAAAAGCAATATTTGGTTCTTCTAAATGAAAAAGGGCCCAGGATTTTGAACGGAAATTTGGACCATGAAAACATGCCAGTGTCATATGATTTCCATGTAAGCTCATTGATCCTCCAAATTGCATTCCATCTTCTGGTAATGGAATCTGAAATAAGGATATGTGGCATCCTGATACCACCTTCAATACTCCAGGCCAATGTCGATGATGAGCTGCATCAAGCACTGCAAGAAAATCAAGAAACATATTTCCTGAAGTGCATCATGAGTATCCTGAATGGGGCAGGAAGGCAGGAGGGTAGCTACTTTCTGCAGCTGAAAGTGACTCATGTAAGGGATGAAAACAATGTCCAACACCTGGTTAACACTAAGCACTAGCTAATAAAGATATGGTCTGGGGAAAGATGCTGCATGAGGATGGACAGAGCTAAGCAAAGCAGTAACTTGCTAATAAAAATTACAACTAACAACTTCTGTAATGATTAATGATTCACAAAGTGTTTGCATAAAATTTTACATAATTCTCACAATAACTCTATAAACTAGGTATGTCATCTTGACCGATTTCAAGTGAAGAAACAGAACAAAGGGGTTAAGTGGACCAGTGACTGGAAGACATAGAAATCAAATGCAGACCCCCTGATTTTAAGTAATGCTTTTTACTTCTGTATACCCTTGCTACTCAAAATGAGGTCACAGAACTAGCAGCATCAGCATTACCTGCGAGCATGTTAGACATGCAGACTCTTAAGTCCCACCATATCTACTGTATCAGAATCTGCATTTTAATAAGATCCACAGGTGGTTCAGACACACATTAAAGTTTGAGAAGCATTAATCAAATATACGATTTATATTTCCCACTTATTCCAACAATGTCCTTTTTGGCTCTTTTCCACATCTCTCATCCCAGATCCAGACAAGGATCCATGCATTGTATTTAGCTGGTGTGTTTCTTTCAATCTAAAACAATTTCCTAAGCCTGTTTATTTTTCACGACAAGGACTTTTTTGAAGAATCCAGGCCAGGTGTTTTGCAAAACATTACCTCAATTAGTATATGCATGATATTGCTTCTAGTTTAAAAGAAATACATGGACTAGAGGAACAAGGCAAATGACACCACAAGGAAGTGGCTAAGATCTAGAAGGTAGGGCATTCTATAGGACAATTGGCCAGGTCTCTTCAACAAGTCAGGTCATACAAAAAAAGGAACTACGCTAAATTAAAAAAGAATAAAGGAACATAACCAGATTTAATCTGTGATCTTGGATTGTATATACTGGTTTGGACAAACCAGTTGTAAAGGATATTTTTAGGTCAATTATGGAAATTTGAATGTGCTCTGAAAACTAATGGAAATAAAAAATAAGCAAAATGGAAAATTGGAGATCGTTGGCTGGAAAAGTGTATTGAAACGATATGAATGGTATTTTGATGGAAAAAGTACACATATCTGTTTAGATGCATAGAAAAATATCTGGAAAAATTAATATATGTGTTAAGGTGTTCAGAGTTATGATTTCTGGGTGGAATATGATGTTTTTATTTTTTGCTTGTATTTTCTAGTTTTTTCCAATGAACACATGTATTGCTTCTGTGATAATAAAAAGTAATTAAAAAGTTATCCTCATTCTGACTACTTCTCACCACTTTATCTCTATCACCCTAGCAAAAGCCACCATCATCTTTTGCCTGGACTCTTGCAATGGCCTCCTTGCATCCATACATCGTAACTATGTATGTAACAATGGTAATGGTAACTATTGCAATGGTTTCCTTATTTCCATTCTTACCTGCCTATAGTCTTTTCTCCACACAGTAGCCAGAGCAATGCTTTAAAAATGAGTATTTTAAGAAAAGGTAACTCAGATATCAAATCTATTCAAAACTCTCCAATAGCTGCCCATCATATTAAAAATCTTATCTGTGGCATACCTCTCTGAATTCATGTCCAGCGTTTTCCTCCTGGCTTATTCTGCTCTGGCCACAGTGGCCACCTTAATGATCTTCGAACAAGTCAAGTTTGTTTCTACTGCAGGAGAACTGGACCCTTCAGTGGCCCCGTATGCCCAGAACTCTCTTGATCTTAGCCTAGTCCTTTCACTCAAATTTCCACTAAAAAGTCACTTTAGAAAAGGCTTCTCTGATCACCCTTTCTAAAATAGCTATCCTCACACCTTATCATTCTCTGTATCCTTCCCCTGCTTTGTTCTTTTGTTCAGCACTTCTAACTGAAATGATCTATTTAGTTAGTAAATTAATTATGGTCTGTCTCTCCCATTAGAATGTAAGTTTCATGAGGGAAGTGACTCTGTCCACCACTAGATGTTCTGTGCCTAGAATGGTGCCTAAGCACACGGCTACTGCTTAATAAATATTTGCCAATTGAATTACTGAGCAAAAATAATGATCTGCCTAATATCACACAAATAATAATGAATCCAAAGCCAGCTATTCCAACTCCATAGCCCATGCTCTAAATCTGGAATACGATACTGTCATAAATAGTATTCAAGAGCATGAAGTTAGAATAGTTGCAGATGCACTGTAGCAGGGGAATAGATGATAAGTAATAACTTCCCAAATGATGGCCTCTAATTCCACTGGTAGGTAGGAGATATGGTCCTTTGCTGAGTGAATTGGATGAAGAGCCTACAGCCTATTTTGTAAGTATAGCATATAGATTATTATTGTTACTATTATTTTTAATTAAGAATATAACACATATTTAGTGAAAGATAAAGTATATATAAAGATTTAATTCTAATTCTTACTTTGTTCTTGTGAACTTTTCTCTAGGTTGTTAGTCATTGTCTTTGGGGGAAGATACGGAACTGGTCCCCAGGTAGACAGAGCTCGTTTGCTGGTGTCAAACTGTTGTGTGAAAAATTCCTGGAGCTTCATTCCTATTTTTATCAGGTCTGGCGTGGTTGATCTTGATATCATGACTTGGAAAATATCCCACTTCAAATCTCCATGGACAAAAATCTCACTAGAGCATAAAACAGGATTTTTATTGTATGTTTTACAGAATATACTTAAAAAATACAAGAAAAATTCTCTTCCTCACCCAGCTTTTTTATTTGCATTAACTGTATAATATAAAAATATTTTGCACGAAAAATGAATTGCTTTTGTTTTCTTACTGGAAAATATGTTAAGAGCAGTCATGTAAAGTATTCAAAAAGTAATGTCTTAATAAGTACCTTTTATCAGTTATGCTTGAATCCAATGTATTATACAGGTTTACTTTCCATTCATCCTGAAGCTTAAGATCAGCATTACTGAAGATACCCATGAGGATACTTGAGCCCATGTAATCAACACGAGCTTCAGTAGAACCCATAGTAATCTGAATTTTGTGATTGGGTTGCTGATTTGGATGTTCAGAAATATGAGCTAAAATAGAAATAATAATTTTCACAGAAATGTCCACGGGAAAAACTCATTGCAATCAATTTCTAAAAACTTTTTCTTAAGATTTCTGTTTTGCAGATATATTAGATCAGTTGTAAAATTTCAACATACCAACCATCTCCAAAGCATTGACATCTATTGTCCCTCCAACTACTCCTCCTTTTGAATCTAATTGTGATCTTCCCAGACCAACAGACATGCTAATCTCTCGATCACGGTTACTTCCTACTGAGAGACGGCCCTGGCTCTTCAAACCACTAGTTGTCCAACTAAAAAGAGGAAAAAGGGTTATTAAATAGATATATGACTTCTAATGTCATGAATTAAAACAGGATTTAAATTAAAAAGAAGTTAAATCATATTATTTAAGTAAAAGGTCGAGTTTGACAATGAAACAACACACTTCTTATAAAAACTATGTGGTAAATATTCAAATGTTAACATCAATGATGAAGCTTTTTTCTTAGCTAGAAAATTACTCTAATTTCCTTATAATTTTTACTCTTTTTAGAACATATATTTCATGCTTTTATATTATAATATCCTTAGGATTAAGCCATTTTCAGGATAAAATAATTTATATCTTTTATCTACTATCTTTAATTTCTCAAAAATTTCAGCATTAAGAAAAGGTTTTGAATTGCTTTACTACAAGAAAAATTACAAATAATGATTGAATATATTTCCTTTGGATATGAATAGCTTACGTTGTATTGCCCATTACATTACTCATATTCATTTGAACGTTTAATTGCTTCAAGTTGATAGCAAAAACGACAAGTGTTTCCCATGGGGTCCCTTGTTGGCTTGCTGCTTTGTTTGATTTGTTAAAAGGTGCTGATGTTTTTGAAAGTGAATCTAAAAATAGAAAAATCAAATACATGTTCATTTACATAAATGTCAAGCCAATTATAAAGCAAAAACAACTTTTATCACTATAATCCACAAAGTGGAAATATGATATTCGTGTATTAGAACCTAATGTTTAATGGTTGCCATATTGCCTCTAAAATAATAGTTACCATTTACTGAATGGTTAGTAAGTGCTGGCAGCCTTATTTCTTGAAAGTTCATGAAATTCTATATGGTTCCCACTTTACATGAGGAAATTCTGGGGTGCATGGGATACAGCAGCAGAGATCATTCATCACCCTGGGATTTTCATCACAAATGAGAAAATCATAAGGTGCTGCTGCCAAACAGAAGCTCCAAAGGCAGGGACTGTTCTGAAATGCAGAGGCCAGCTGGGGTGCCTGTCTTTATGTTCTTACGGACTCAGTGTATATCTTGATACCTGCATTTGCTCATTATACTTTAATCTTGCCTTGTGACAAGACCTACATCATTCATTTTTACATATTTGAGCACAAGTACAGAGCCAAAGGTAAGTATAAAAAAAGTTCAGAAAAACACTGACTAAATAAAAGAATGACTGAATGAATACAAAGATTAACTTTTTCAATATCAAGGCACCTTCCGGGACTTTCATGATGCTGTAGGTTTATTTCTAAAAATAACTGTACCATATGGAGCACACTAACAATACGCTAATTCCTCTCTCGCTATCCCTTTGCAAAGCTACTAGCCATCTAGCTGTCTCTTCTGCTGGCAATACTTTGAAGTGTTTGTTATTTCTTATTTTATTTGTTTTTGGGTTTTTTTTCCCCTAATCTATCATAAAAACCCAAAATGAGTATCTTCCTACAACTGGGGCTAAAATCTGGGAGTAACTAAGATTTTTATCTTGGGAACACTGGAGGGCTATTGATAGCAGAAAGAGCAGTGTTACCTCTTTGAGGAACTGAAGAATCAGATACACTTCTTGATCTTATGGAAGCTGGAGATTTTAGACTCTGTGCTGCTGTCCCTGGTGACATGGTGCTGTTTGTCATATGCTCATTGAACACATTAGGTGACTGAGGCATGTGAGTGAAGGAGGCTGACTGACTTGGCTGCTCCCAGGTCTTGCAGTAAGCTTTTCTTGATGATTCAGGGGAAAGATGCTGGCTTACCCCTTCAATGGAATCAGGTGTCCCTGGACCAGATGCTAGTAGAAAAGTAGAAAACAAACAGAAACAAAATCCAAAGTAACTGGGTAAAAATCATGATATAAAATAATTTCATCCATCCACCATTTATAATCATATTACATATTCCCTCTAGTTCTCTATTTAGCAACTGTATGGCAATATACGGTTTGCAAAAAATATTCCAGTATTTTATTTAATTCTCACAGAAACTCCATGTGAAGAGCAAAACAGGTATTCTGGTCCCAGTTTGCAGGTGAGGGAATAGACTTAGACCTAGGACTTTTAATATTTTCCACTAAATGATGCTGACGCTACTTTTCACTTCCATCGCGCTCTCTTGAGCTCATTACTACAATATCCAAGTCTGAGAGACAAATGTAGGTAGATGGTAGCATGTCCACAACACTTTCTGTTTTCCATGCTTATCTAAACGTGATTAACTTGGATGGTTAAATGTATTTCTGCATTTCCAGATTTTACAAAGATTACAGAGTAATCATTATAGAATAAAATGTCAGCTAGAATGTAATCTCTAAGAGGGTAAGACTTTGGTCTGTTTGGTTTTGCGATACGTTCCCAGTATTAATGTCTCCCCAATTCTTGGCATATTAGAGGGGCCCAATCAATAGATATTTCTTCAATAAGTGAATGAATCGCATGGTACAACTTACTGAATAAGACCAAGTTTGTGTTACCAATCATGGATTTTGCTACTATTGGAACCAAAATTTAAAGCAATCTGATTATAATTACATAATAAGCTTACTTGGCAAATTTATAGTTTGGTCTCCGAGGAACAGACGTCTTGCAATACTTCTCCTATACCATGCTCTTGGAAATGCCAGAATTTCACTGAGTCGACGCATATCATATTTAAAGGAGGCAGACCCTATATCACAAACAGCTGATACACAAATAAAATTTGTTAGAATAAATTTCCAAAACCCTTAATGTTTTCACACGGTAGGTATAAGACAGGACATTATACAGCTGAACTACATTTATGTTATAATTCATGAAATACCGAAATAAGTTACATATTATGATAAGCAAGTGATTATATGTACTTCCACAAATTACAGAAATAGCATATTCTAACATTAGGTTCATTTCCTTTTTTGGAGGTGATGGCAAGTTGGAATTCTATTATCACTGTATCCTGAAACTCTCAGAGAGTTCTAAAGATCAGTCGTAGAGTCAGCTCTGAATTTTAACACAGGGCTCTTCTGAAATATGGGAAATGAATCATCAGGATGAGCTGGGATACAAGATTTTTCAAAAGGAGCTGCAAACCAAATATCTATGTGTCAGGGACTACTGTTTTCCTTTTAGACAAAGAGCAGTGACTTTTAAAAAGACAAAAAGCATCCTGATGGCCAGGGTTGTGCTCTGAGCATTCTTCTACTCCTCCTTTATGTGCTCTTCCATACCTCTATCACAGCTCCTGTAGGATTTACATCTCAGTGATTCCCAAAGCTAAAGTTTCTGTTTTTGCCTGAGACCATACCTACACAGCACATCAGCCAACTGCCTACCAGACCCTTCATCTAAATGTCCTAGAGACACTTCCTTCTTTGTTTTCTAAGTTAATGGCTTCACTGGTTCTTCAGTCATCTAAGTTAAAAGTCTGAGGCATTCTTGTCTCTTCTACTACCCCTTTTACAACTTGTCTTCGACCTTGTGGATTTTCTTATCTCTCTCTTGAAACCACTCCTTTTTCTCCTTTTTCACTGTTACAATTCAGGCCTTCACCCACTATTGCTTGGTCTATTTCAGCGGCCTCCTCAAGCAACTTTGCTCTCCCACCTTTCATGCTGCCATTGACTCTCTTTCTAAAACACTAATCTGAAGCTTCACCCCATTTCTTAAAAACCTCTAATGGCTTCTTACTGCCCACAGGATCAGTACCTGACTCTTTAGCCTGGCATATTGAGTCCCTCCACAATCTGGTCCTGATCTATTTTATCAGCTTTATCTCTAACCATTCCTGTCTCCTGGTGCCACCTACTTTGTACAACCAATTAAATGTTCAGTTATACCCCATGCTTCAGCCACAGCAAAACAAAGTATGACCCAAAAGCATATTTTGATGCTTCTGTGCCACTGAATGCCGCATTGCTACCTCCAAAAATATTCCTATTCAATTTGCAAGATCTGGCCCAAATATTATTTCCTTTGTGAAGCCTTCTCTGATATCCCATATAAAACGTAATTTATTGTTTCCTCCTCTTTATATAAACCTCCATTATATTATAGCATTTCATTTATAATCCTGCACTCATTTATTTGTCTACACATAAGACCTTGCCTTATTCATGCCTACTCACCCCAGTCACCTAGCAATTTCTGACAAAAGGTCACTGAGAAACATAGGCTAAATATTTGTTTGCTGAATAAATATTGGGTTAAATGAACATACCATATTTATTTATTATAAAAGTTTTCACTCATTTAGTACTCTGAATTCTTCAAAATGTTCCATATACATTTAACTTTAAATACTCAAACCACAATGCAAAGAAAATAAGTAATTTGCCCATAGTTAAATAGCTAGTTATAAAGCTAGCAATACATATGCATACAACTCAAGATCTTCTGACACCAAGTAAAAACTTTTTAATTTCACTTATCCCTATTTAGTACTATTAAGCATTTATAATCACAAAAACAAAACTAAAAAGTCAGAAATTTTACCCATTCATGGTAGAGGAGAAGTGAAGAAAAGCAACTTTTAGTGATTTAATTAGGCATATTTTGGCCCTTGGGTGATATGTCTATCCATTTATCTAGAAATCATATTTCTAACATTGGACTGGACTGAGATAGTACAGTAGGCTGGACTGTTATTTCTCTCTTTTAAATTAATTTTATAACTGAAAGCTTAAGATTAAGTGTACTTAATACTTAAACATTGTTAAAACAGAAGCCATTAATTAATTCTGGAAAACAATATTTTAATTTAAAAACTACAAAATTGAATACCAGATATATTTATTAATGTAGTGTCCATTTTGCTTGCAGTCTTGCTTACAGATGGACTTTCAAAAAATGAGGCACCTCCTGAACGTCTTATCCGAGACAGGCTTACTTTTACAAATTCAAGGTTTATGCTGAGTGAATCTTTTCGACCAGTGACTGAAGTGGGTTCCTCATCCACATTCCCTTAAAAAGAAAGCAAACAAAAACGCCCCACATCTATATATATATACATACACACAGCTAATTTTACAATCCAGTGTAATATGCCATCAATTAAAATCATTTTAGGTAAAAACTTAAGCAGAATGATCTAATGAGCATTAGCATTCCTAGTTGAAGAGGTTCAAGCCCATAAATATAATTGGTGGTTTTTACAACCCTTTTCCAACAACAAAAACTCACACTGACATGGAGTATGTGCCATCATTATTTGTCTAAATACAAGTCAAAAGATATTCACTAATAACAAGATCTTGTGGGCCAGGCGTGGTGGCGCACGTCTGTAATCCTAGCACTCTGGGAGGCCGAGGCGGGTGGATCGCTCAAGGTCAGGAGTTCGAGACCAGCCTGAGCAAGAATGAGACCCCGTCTCTACTAAAAATAGAAAGAAATTAATCAGACAACTAAAAATATATAGAAAAAATTAGCTGGGCATGGTGGCGCATGCCTGTCGTCCCAGCTACTTGGGAGGCTGAGGCAGTAGGATCACTTGAGCCTAGGAGTCTGAGGTTGCTGTGAGCTAGGCTGAAGCCACGGCACTCTAGCCCAAGCAACAGAGTGAGACTCTGTCTCAAAAAAAAAAAAAAAAAAAAGATCTTGTGCATTTTTAGTGGTTCATCTGCACTTTAACATGCCAAAAAATTTAATTTCACTAAATATCTGACTTGAATAATAGTCTCATTTAAATTAATAAACATAACCCACACACTTTAAAATTTTACTTTTTAGGATATAATTTCTTATACAAATAGGTGATGATTTGGTTAAGTTGTTTAAACATATCAGTAACATAAGTAACTTCTGATATCCAAAGAGATTACTGTGCTGTTTCTATCATTTAGAAAATATTCTGAATTTTTAAATTCTTGAATAATTAATATATCTGAATTACTTATTGCATATTTCTACTTATGTAGGGACAAGATAGATATTATCAAAAGGGAAAAATATAAAAAGGTTCTGATCTTAGTTTATATCCCTTATTAAAAGTATTATGATTCATGAAAAGAAAGCTTGAAAAGATGCTTGAAAAGTTTGAAGAAACTTTAAAAGATGCTACAGACTTGAAAAAGACACAAACATGCAAAGTATACCTAATCCTCCTGATCCAGATGTAAGGCCAGAAACAGCGGTTTTTTGTTTTCCTGCTCCATATGGATGAAATACATAAAGGGAAAAGTCAGACATGCATGCAGTGAAGCTCAAGCCAGATGAACTACTGCTGGAACTGGTCAGATCTGACTGACTACTACTGTGTCGACTTCTGCCAAGAGGGCTGCCTAATCCTGACGAACCTGTAGTGAACACAAGAAATTCAGAATATTTATAAGCAGCAAGAGAAAAAAAAAAAGCAGTCACAACATGTTCTCAAGAACCAACTACAATTTCAGAATAAAACAGAAACACTCAAATATTAACAGATCAATAGATTTAAATCCTTAAAGTTGAATTGAGGACTTAGATGTATTTTCTAATTAATTTATGTTATAAAGTAGGGTTGACTACTCTGTTCATCTTTAAAACAATCATTTATACATATATTTGGCTTACTGCATGGTTTCCTATTTCTATTCTCCTTTGTTCCACTGGAAGAAGGCAGTGGAAGAGGCCCAAAAGAGGGGGGGTTTTAAGCAAAGGGGAAGGAGAACAAACTGAAGAAACCATACATATACCTGGATTCCACATTTCAGTAAGTAGCAGTGGAAACAGAGCAAGGTAAGCAAATGCAGAAAGTAAAAGATCTTTTTCTCTCAGAGCCAAGTGTCCTTACTGGTAACATTTACCAGCGATGGACAAACAAATTCCAAATACACTTTAAGCATAAAAAAATGAGACCATCTGAAGAGAGCATTATAGAATTTTGCTGTCGATTCCAAAATTATCTCTAGACCTCCTTTGGAATTATATATTACAACTGTCTACTTAACTTCCTACTAGAATAAGTCAGAGGCATTTAAAGTTTATCATGTCCAAAATTGAACTCCTATCTTTTTCCTTGAATCTGCTTTTCTTCCACTGTTCCCCATCTCCAGCAAGTGAACACTTCCATGCAAATAGCTCAACCAGAGGCCTGGGAGTTACTTGTCATTCTTCCTACTCCTGACTGTCATGTAATTTATCACCATGTCATTTCTACATCTCACATAAAATAAAGTCCATCCTTTTCCCTCCATCTCACTGCTGCCATTCTAGTTTAAGTTATCAACTCTGCCTGGACTACCGAAATGGCCCACTGATCTCCTTGCTTCTTTCCACTCTAATCAACTGCCACAGTGCAGCTGGACTGTTGGTCTCAAAGTGTAAATCTGAATCATGACCATCCACTTCCCTGCTTAACCTATCTGTCAATGGCTTCCCCACATGATCTGGCTCTTTCCTCTCTCTCTAACCCTTTCCAGTGCCAGTCTCCACTTATAATAGCTTTTTTTTCCTTTTTGTTTTACAAAATTACCAAACTTTTTCCCGTTTCATGGGTTTTGTATTCTCTATCAGGAGTGTTCATTCTCCCAACTCTCTGCTTAACTAACTTATACTCACCGGCTTCACATTTCCATTTAAAATAAGCTTGTTTGTTTGGCTATTATTATTTGTTTCTCCAAATCTGTTTTAGGTTCCACATTAGCCAGTACCATGTCTATTAGTTCAGTTCACTACACTATACCTAACCCCAAGCACTGACCCAGACCACACAGACATTCAGTAAAGGTCCTTTGAAAGAATGGATATTGTTACAACCTACATATTTATTTTCATCATCATTCCTTGAAAGTTTTCTGATGAGAAAATGAGGGGTGCTGTTCATTTTTACTATTTTCTAAAGAATCACAAAATGTGGGTATAAAACACAGTTTCTCATTTTATATTGCTTTCACTATCTACTCCTAGCATAGTGCATATGTACTGCTATAATAATTTAAGTGCTAATAAGTTATGTGACTTTTATCATTAAGAAAAAAATGAACATTCCAAAAGAGAAATGAGCATGGGCATATATTTATCCCTCCTCCCCCAAAAATAGCCAATAAAGTAATATAATACAAATTAAAATAATAAGAATCCCATCTTAATCCATCACATTGACAATGATTAAAAATAAATTTAAAGCTGCTTTGGGAAGAATACAATGATATGCTATCCATACACATTGTGGTGAGAGTATAGAAATCTTACAGTCTTACCAGAGAGTAAAAGTATCAACCACTTTAAAAATGGTCATATTCTTTAACCTAAAAATTTCCACTTTTAAGAATTTGTCCTAGGACTATGTTTTTGTTTATAAATATTTACATACAAAGATGTTCATTTTAATATTACTTAAAAAATAAAAAACAAAACAAAAAACCCAGGGAATCTCAAGTATATGATCAAAATGATGAACTATCATACAGCCATTAAAGTTATTTTAGAGATGAGTATTTCATAATTTGGGAAAATATCTATGATATTTTAAATTTTAAAAAGTTACAATTTTGCCTGGGAAAAAGATCGTACCACTACAAAAATGCTAGAGAGTAAGAACTGATGACACTGGTTATCTATGATAAAGGGGTATTATTTCTTATTTTTATTTCATCTTTAGTACTCTTCCGTTTTCTGCATTTTCTATAATGAACAGTGAGCTACTTTTATAATTAGAAAATGTGTTTTCAAAAACCAATACTACTATTCCAATATTTTGTTGACAACACGACTCCAGCAACGATATTGTGGAGCTAAGTGTTGGATGATGGGTGACCACAGCAGCAATAACTTTATTGCTAAGAAATCAATCTCTTTGTTTTAAATTGCCATTTAAAAATATATACATGCTACTTGACACAATTTTATTTCAGTCTGATAAGAAATCCTCGGGAAACAGCACTATGTCCCTTATTTTCCATTTGTAACACTAATTGCACTTACATGTAAAATATAACTTAAAATAAAACATTCAAAAGTACTTGAATATGTGAATTATTATACAACCGTTACATCATAATGCTTGGAGTGTGTACATTCAAGCCAACACCAACATGCTGTCTAACTGCCATTCAGTTAAAAATACAAACTAAAGGGTACTCAAGTTCAAGTAACACATGAAATATACTCAAAACTTCGGTCTACTATAGATTTTTTCTTATAAATAATTCTTAAATATTCCTTTTCTAAATTTATTTAAAAATATCAATTAATTACTATCAAAATATCTATTTAAAAATAGTATTTGGGTTTATACCAGACAAATAAAAGGATGTTTCAAACCTGGTATTCCAGTTTTGCTAGCAGAGGTCTTTGTTCCACTCTGAGCAGCATTGCCTCCAGGAGACAAAGTCTCTGCAGGATATGTACTCCCTAAAGTCTCCAGTTCTCCTCGGTTGGAAGAAAACACCAAGTCCAGGGATGGCAGCTTTAGCATGCATTCTACTCTTGATACTGGTAAACAGCTAAACTTGATCTGTGAGGGCTAAAAATAACAGCCAAAAATAAAGGTTTCTAGGAACAGGATGGTTAAAAATTTTCATATTAGATTCCAAAAATTACATTTAAAATTCATCTTGGTTTAATATACTAAATTTTTCATGTTTTACCATTTGATACCTTTTTTTTTGGAGATAGGGTCTCACTCTGTTGCCCAGGCTAAAGTGCACTGGTGTTATCATAGCTCAGTACAACCTGAAACTCCTGGGCACTAGAGATCCTCCTGCCTCAGCCTGCTGAGTAGCTGGGACTACAGGCATGCGCCACCAGGCCTGTCTAATTTTTCTATTTTTATAGAGACAGGGTCTCGCTCTTGCTCAGGCAGGTCTCGAACTCCTGGCCTCAAGTGATCCTCCTGCGTTGGCCTCCCAAAGTGCTAGGATTACAGGCGTGAGCCACTGAACCCAGCCTTCATTTGACACTTAAAGCTTTATTTTGTGTTTAATGTCTTAGTGTTTTCAAATAGAAGCATGATATATAAATCAAAATGTATTATCGAAATGGTATCATTTTGAAAAAGGTAAGTGTCTGAGGAACTGTTTCTGAGCAATAAATCCAGTTGACCCTTGAACAACACGCGTTTGTTCTGGTCCACTTACACACAGACTTTTCCAACCAAAGGTGGATTAAAAATACAGTATCCCAGGAAGAGACTTTTTGTATATGGACCGTGGGACTTTAGTATGCATGGATTTAGGTATATGTGGGAGGGGAGTGGTTCTGGGGCCAATCCTCCAAGTATACTGACTAACGACTATTTAGACATTTAGATAATTCAGAACCTTAAAAATATTTATGCTTACATTAAGCTTGTTCATAATCAAGTCTTTTAAGGGAAGTAATCTCACTTATATTAAAGTTTAAAAACATTATTGTATTAATAACAAAGGTTTTATAAACCCTCAAGTCCTCCTCCATTATAGATTTTCATCAGACCTTCAAAAAAGCTAATATGAAACTCCAGAATATCAAACTTTAGCTCTTCTGGCCAAATTGCTATTACAGCAAATAGTTGGAACAGTTGACCATAGTGTTTCCTTTATTCTTAAGACTGATTATAAGATTTTAATTGAGGGTAAACTAAATCCTGAAGTTTGGATATAAGTAATTTTTAAATACTCCTTAATAAACAGATTTAATCACATATTAATAGATAGTCTCAAAGGCCTACTGATAGGACTGCATTTTAGAATAAAATATTAAATAAAAACTACATAACTCTTTGCAAAAATTTTAACAAAGGTACTACTGTGACTTTATATTTCAATTACACTTTATATTTGCCCAGAAAGAATCCTAATGGCAAGAAATGAAGATGCCATATTAAAAATGGCATGAGATGCTTAAAAAGGGACTTTAACTTATACATTTTTATTTTTGCCACAAAAGCATGATATCTAAATTTTAAAAACCCAAAAATCCATGAAAACTTTTCAGTAGAAAAGTGAATATACGAAGTTTGTTCGGAAAGTATCCAGCCATGTGCTATGAAAAATAGAGACATTTATTTAAGAAGATACAAGAAACACTGTGCATAGGACGCCGCCACCTCAGTCCCCTTCAAAGTAGGCACCTTGGGACCTCACAGAGCTCTCCCGGCATCTCTTCCACTGTTCAAAACACTCTGCAAAATCCTTTGTTGGAATTGCCATCAGCTGCCTCATCATATTTTCCTGAATCTCCTGGATGGTCTGAAATCTCTTCCTTTCAAAGGTGATTTTAGTTTTGGGAAAAGCCAGAAGTCGCAGGGTGCCAAATCTGGGCTGTAGTGGGGTTGAGTCATCCAGGTAATTTGATGTTTTGCCAAAAACCTCTGCACCAGACGTGATGCACGGCGGACGCGCTGTCATGATGGAGCTGCCAATGCCCAGCTGCCCGTAGCTGCGGCTGTTTCCGTCGCATTGCATCTCTCGACCAATGGAGATCACTGAGGTAGTGCTCCTCATTAACTGTTTGGCCTGGAGGAGCGAACTCATGATGGACAACACCTTCCCAGTCAAAAACCACAGTTAACATGGTATTGATCTTGCTGTGCCTTCTTTGCACGTGGAGAACCAGGTGACTTCTGCTGGAATGACTGGGCCTTCGTTTCCGGATCATAGCTGTATACCCACAATTCATCTCTGGTTATGACCTTCTTGAGGAAATCTGGTTCATTGTTAGCGGTCTGAAGCAAGTCATTAGCAAATGCAGCACGATGTTCCATCTACTCTGATAGCAGAAGCCATGGAATGCATTTTGCCACGATATGTTTTATGCCAAGATCCTGCATCAAAATCTTGGACACTGTAGTTTTTGGAATCCTCAGATCAGCTTCTAGTTCTCACACTGTCAGTTGCTGATCTTTGTTGACTGTAGCCTATACACTTCAACGTTCTCAGGAGTTCTGCTTGTTGCAGGCCTTCCAGAACGTGGATGGCTTCCAACAGATTCTTGACCACCTTTGAAGCGTTTGTGCCACACTTTTATTTGTGCTGCACCTGTTGCATCTTCCCCGAAAGCCTTCTGAATCATCTGAATAGTTTCTGTGAAGGCATGTTCAAGCTTAACTCAAAATTTGATGCAGATTCATTGCTCTACTCGCTCAGTCATTTTGAACACGATGGCTACACGATACACACGCTCACACAACAGTGTCTAGCGCCCCACTGACAAGTATAGTGAAGTCATTGCTCACACATGTGCGTTACAGTCCACTCTCCTTGGCTGCCAGGTTACATCAATGTCGTTGAAACAGTTCTTGTTATATTAACAATGGCTGGATACTTTCTGGACAGACCTCATAGATGATCACGGATAGGAAACATTGACTTGTGTTTTCTATTAATACTTCACAAAGGTGCAAAATCGATACTCATTCAATAGAAACTATACTTCAAGTACCCATAAAACCATTCTGTTTTCACTTTCAGTACAGTATTCAATAAATTACGTGAGATATTCAACACTTTTATATAAAGTAGTCCTTGTGTTAAAAGATTTTGCCCAACTGTAGGCTAATGTGTTCAGAACACATTTAAGGTAGGCTAGGCTTGGGTTAGGTATATTAAACGCATTTTCTACTTACTTTCTTACTGAGTCATGATCTACTACAATCATCATCCCAATTATATCAACTTTTCATATCAAAATTTCAAAAGTATTTTCTAGTTTTAGTTATAATAATTACTATAGTATACTGCCTTTGTGTGTCCTTGTTTGTGATAAACACTCAAGCCTTCCTATTTTTTCCCTTTCCTTTCATCTGCTTTGTTAATCAAATTATAACTGTCCGAATCCTTAAATAGTATTAAAAAAGGTCTACTACACCCCCCAGCACAACATTCTGATAACTGATATAGATTTTTCGACTTACCATATTTTCAGAATGTAACGCCACATAAGTTGAGGAGCATCTGTATATACATAAAATTTTACATGTATTTCAGGCAACCTCCAACCCATCATAGACATACTAAATAAAGGTCCATAAACCCAAGATTAAGAAAATTTTAAAGGGAAATAACACTGAAATGTTCAAATAAACTTAAGAAAAACATTTTTCTTTAAACCAAAAAGGAATAAACGAGGTATATCACCTGAACTCGTACATAAACCACAACATCTACAGGGAAGGAAGAGTAAGCAGATGTTGAAGATGACACTAGTGATGTTGTTGATTCTTCCAATGGATCTGGTATTTCAAAATGTCCCATATCTTCATCTTGTGAGCTGACAGCTGTTAAAATGTTTAGTTTTAAGTTGTATTATTAGTTCATGGACAAACTATTTATTAAAAGATTCTCATCTCTTATACCAGTGAGATGAGAGGTATGAACACCCAGAAACATTTATTTCTGTAGTCTATCATGCTACAATTCTTCCCCTATTCAAATCTCTTGTTTATTTCCCCAAATTCAAATTTGCCTGCTGCTATACCAAACACTGTACAAAGAAAACAGTGATTATGCTCTTGCCCTAAAGATCATTTCAGTCTAAGATGCACATCCTTAATGTAGGACCTAAGGATGATAATTTTGTCTTTAACTAGCTATGGCCATGGGAAAATTATATAACCTCACTAGGACTTAGTTTCTTCATTTGTGAATGAGGATTAGATGATCTCAAGTTCTTTTTCAGTTCCATAAATTCTTTTAAATTTATAATTGAATATGTTATATAATAATGTACAATAGCATTAAGAAAACCTTGTAAGTAATAAGATCCCAAAATATATGTGATGGTGAAGTAAATATATAAGGGGGATGCTTACCTGTATAATTCCTTTCAATTGGTGTAATTGGGATAGTTTCCAGAGCCTTTTCCAGAAAGTCTAACAGGCAGGGACTAATAACCATTTCTTCTGGCAATGACTGAAGTGCTACCCAGGCATATAACTTGGCTGTTTTTACTCCTCCGCTTCCTTTTCCTTTGGCTAGAACATTTATAAATGTGAGGTATATTTAATGGAATTTAATAAAAAGTTCCGATTAACCATAATATAATTTTGTGAGAAATTAGAATTATATGACAATTTAATCAGCTAAAGCACCTAATACTTAAGACCATACAAGAAAGCAAAAAACAGCAGGTTGATAGAAATGATACATTAATGTTAGAATACAAAGATGATTAATGATGTATAGGATGGTTATACCTATTTGCTCCAGGTCACAAATTTTGGTTCAACTTTTTCAACTTTATACTTTGCTAAATCTCTCATCAGCATTAGTCCTTTTTTCCATTTAAGAAGATACAGAGAACTTTAACAATTACTTAATGGCAAGTGAGGAAAAAAACATGATTGTTTTCAGGCATTCCATACTATCGTTAGTTTGTACATATTTACAATGCTTCCCTACATGGGATGCCATCTTTCTTTACTTCTACCGAACTAAATATTTCTGCTTCAGTAAAATGAATAGAATATCTAACAAAGACTTAGCTAACTTTGGCTTAGGTTTCTAACTCTAACATTTATTAGTTGTGTAAATCTAAGAAAGACATTCAACTTCTACGAGCCTTAACTTTCCTCATTTATAAAATAGGTAACAAAATCTGCCATGCACTTAATGGACACAGATGTGCCTTGTCAATTAAAAAGTGACATAAAAATATCAGGCATTACCATCACGGTTACTATTTTAAAAGGTTTACATATCAAATTCTGTCTCCCAAATGAAACTTTTTCAAATAATTCTTATCTAGTCTGATATTCCCTTTTTTGGAAATTCTACCATGTATGTAAGGTATCATTTATGTGCTGTGGTACCCAGATTCCAAGGTGGCTTCCAATGATCCTTGGATCCTGGTATTCATGCTCTTGTATAGTTCCCTCCCACACTGACCTGCATGATCAATAAGATACTGTGGAAGTGGTGGTATGTGACAGTATGTGGCTTTTGAGGCTAAGCCATAAAAGATATTGCTGCTTCAGCCATGTTCTCTTTTGGGTCACTCCTTTCGAGGGAAGTCAACTGCCTGGTCATGAGAACACTCAAGCAGCCCAGTGGAGAGGCCCACGTGGGGAGGAACTGAGGCACCAGTTAGCCAGTCATGTGGCACATGATGGAAGCCATCTGGCTCTAGTCAAATATTCAGATGACTGCAACCCTAGACAACCCAATCTCATAAAAGACCATGAGTTAGAGCCACTGAGCCAAACTGCTCCTGAGTTTCTGGTCAACAGAAACTGTGTTTGACATTACAAGCCATTAAATTTTGGGTAATATGTTATGCAACAATAGATAGTTAATAAATGTGGTTAAGCCCAATGTACTCTGTCTTAAATGTGTAAGTTTGATATTTCTATCTGATAATAAGCTCCCAAATTTGAACTATAATAAACTACCCTTTTCTAAATATACCTAGACTTCAAGTTTAATAAAGCAAACTATTTGGTATATTAAGTTTATTTTATAACAGATACTCTAAAAGTAATATCAATTTGAAAAATGTCCAAAAGTAGGTGGCCCCACACATCTATATATGAATTTTATATAGTCATTATTTACAAGTCTATGTCCTTTTTTCTTAAACATGTGAATCTGAAAGTCTCAATAGAGCAAGTAGGTGATGACTAAATATTAATAAAATATGACAAAAAATAGAGCATATTCTCCTTAAATACCTGAGGGAATAGGTGGGGGCTGGGGAGGAAGTAAGGTGTTAGTCTTGCTCTGGACAGTGCAAGGTAAAGGAGGAGAAGGAGGAGATGTTGCACTATCTTTCATACCATACAGCTTGGACTCTTTGGAGAGTGTTCTTGGCAAGGAAGATCCCCTGGAGGCATTAGGTGATTCTGTCTTTAGCGTCTTGGAATTGTAATGCAACTGTTGTGAAACAAATAAACTTTCAAAATTAAAATTATGCAGATGAAGAAAACCAAGAACTGTAGAAAAATGTGGTAGAAAGATCGCCGGTCCAGGGGTCAGATGACTGACTCAGTTCTGATTTTTACAAGTTAGCTTTGTGATCCTGGCAAGATTCTTTGTTTTCTTTTCATTTTTTAAATTAAAAAGGTCATTTCAGATAATCTTTAAAGTTCTTTCCAGCTCAGTACTCTATGATTCTATAATTCTAGAATTTAAAAAATAGTTCTTTAATGAAGTTGCATTAGGCAAGGTTTAGCAAATATGTTAGCAAGTATATTATGAACATCAATCCATAAAAAAGAAAACTAACTTCTTTATGCCAAATGTTCATGGAAAAAGCTATATAAATAAAGTGGCAACCTGCAATTTAGATATTCTTACGTCCAGAATATGGCTATATTAGACAAAAAAGTCACAAAGTCTCATTTTAATATAATGAGCAAAAGATAAACATATGTGATAGAAAATAAACATTGTTACTAATAATCTAATCTCTTATCCTAGGCAACTAGGCTTTTACCTTTACATCAACTCCAGGAATATAAAATACTGTTGTTTCTAAGTCACTAGGCTTTGTCTGTAGAGATGATGGCACTTTCTTGCCAGTCATTAAATGGGTGGTAGAAGCATAATTTGTTTGGAACTTCTTCTTTTTTGAAGGAGAATCTTGGTCCAAGCTCCTGGAACTCCGATCATAACTCCTATGAATAGAAAAATGTTTTATCTTTTTTTAAAAAAGATAAAATTTATCTTATTTAAGATAACATTTGTCTCTTCTTTTGCTTAAAAGCAAAGTTTTATTTATACAGTAAATAGAATGTAATCTTTCATTTAAAAAAGTGAAAAAGTAAAGCTCACCAGCATCTCTGGCTAGACTGGTATATGCCTTGCAGGAGTGATGTAAATGCTCCATTTTCCGTAACTACATAGGGCAGTTATCTTTTTTCTTTCCTAAGTTCGTGACTATTTCACTTGAACATATTAGGCTGAACCCAATGAACTTGCCCTTTATGTAGGTATAAAAAACCACCTAAATATTAGCCATTTATTATGGATTATTATGGTTCAAACAAAACAGTTATTCTTTTTTTAAATCATTGCTACTATATTTGTAAGAGATTTTAACTGTTTCGATTGCCTTTTTATTTTCTCTCTCATTTTGTAAAAGCTTCATTAGACAAACAGACCAGTTAAAAAATCTTTTATTATGGGAAATTTCAAACATATAAAAAATAAACAGAATAGTATTATCAGTGATCCCCACGAACCTATTACCCAGCTTCAACAATTGTCAGTATTCTGCTATTCTTCTTTTATCTATATCTCCACCCATCCACTCAATTTTAACTATTATTAATTTTTATAGTTCATTTTTAGATGAGGAAAGAAAAACAAAACAAAAATTCAAAGAAAAAATAACTTATTGTTAAGCCTGTTTATATCATGATTTAGTAAACGATGGAAACAAATTGTAAAGCTGCAATTATATTCTCAATGTTTAGTCTACTGAGGCCTCTCTGTGCAACTGTCTCTCAACCTTTCTTATTTGCGAACTCATCAAAACTTTCAATCACCACGATACCTCTAAGCATTGTATTGTCATTTAAAACAAAAATGTGTACAATATCAGGTCAGAGATTGATAAATTCATGCTTGCCGAAAGAAAACTTCCAAAGATATAACTATTTTAATTAACAAATTTGCCAGACTCTAAATCAGACATCTATTTCTAGTTGCCAGAAAATACTATGCACTTGTTTAAGGAAATTGTATGCTATGGAAATAATGACTTGACCATTATGACCATGATTAAATCTATTCTTTAAATTTGCATTTTTGGGACGGGAGGAAGTTTTTTATAATTCAGTGATATAAGAATGGTATTTCTAAAAGACAAAGTTACATGCACTCTTTTTCAACCAATTTCATACCTTCTCAAACTTATATCATCATGTTCTTGTAGAAGGGTGGTTGGGTGGAGTACGCATTTTCCACTATCAATTTCAACCCGTATATCAAGTTCAAAGTCAATATTTCTCTCTGTAGCTGTGCCACTAACACTTCGGTTGACTGGTGTTGTTGGCCAGCGTTCTGTCAATAGCTGATGAACAGCAGCAAAACCTGTTGCTTTTTTACGAGAGGTATGTCTAGAAAAAGAACGATCGATCATTATGTTGCAGTGAACTGGGAAGTCTTTTTAACAAATTATTTTCCGGCGTGTTATGTGAACAATAGTTTGTGAATAATTTTACTATTTTATAAATTCACATAAATTATTCAACTGGCTCATACTAATTGAAGTTTTTCCTAAGTTTTGAGTCACATTTTATTCAACATCTGTGTTCTGAGTAACTATTATATGCCAGGCAATGTGCTAGATGACAAGGACACAGGTATAATCATGGCTCTTAAGGAGTTTGATATCAGTGTATGAAGTACATTCTATATGTTAGAGAAGATTTCATTTTCTCAAATTCTATAAGTTAAATGCTACTTTCCAGATTGTATTAGAAGACAGAAGAACAGGGAAAGAAAACTACTGTCATATGCTTTTTACAAAACGGTGTTGAGAAAACTGGATATCCACATGCAAAAGAATGAAATTGGACCCTTAGGTTATACCTTACAAAACAATCAACTCAAAATGGATTAAAGACTTAAACATAAGACGTGAAACTATAAAACTGTTTGAAGAAAATATAGGGAAAAAGCTTCATGACATTGTTCTTCACAATGATTTCATGGATATTACACCAAAAGCAAAAATAGACAAGTGGGACGACAAACTAAAAAAGCTTCTGCAGAGCAAAGGAAACAGTGAAAAGGCAACCCACAGAATGGAAGAAGATATTTGTAAACTATATATCTGATAAGAGGTTAATTTCCAAAATATATTAAAAACTCTAACAACTTAGCAGCAAAAGCTCCTAATAACCCAATTAAAAATGGGCTAAGAACTTAAATAAACATTTCTCCAAAGAATCAGTCAGGGAAATGCAAATCAAAATCACAATGAGATAATATCTCATCCGTGTTAGGATGACTATCATTTAAATAACGACAAAAGACAACATGTGTTGGCATGATGTGGAGAAAATAGAACCCTTGTACACTAATGGTAGGAATACAAAATGGTGCTAGGGAAAACAGTATGGAGATTGCTCAGAAAATTACAAATAGAACTACCATATGATCTGGCAATCCCACTGCTGGTTATTTATCCAAAAGAACTGAAATCAGGATCTCAAAGAGACATTAGCACTCTCGTGTTAATTACAGCAGTTTTCGCAATAGCCAAATAGCTTTTGGTGTAACATTCATGAAATGATTGTGAAGAACAATGTCTTGAAGCTTTTTCTCTATATTTTCATCAAACAGTTTTACAGTTTATAGTATTCAGCCTTAAAAAAAGAAGGAAATAATGCAATATATGACAATACGGATGAACTTGAGGACATTATGCTAAGTGAAATAAGCCAGTCACAGACAAATTCTGCATGAAGTAGCTAAAATAGTCAAACTCATAGAAGTTTCATACCTGACTATCCATCTTATGCAAGATGAATAAGTTCTAGAGATCTGCTATACAACATTGTGCCTACAGATAATGATACTGTATTGTACACTTAAAAATCTGTTCAGAGGGTAGATCTCATGCTAAGTGTTCTTACCAAAATAATTTTTTTCAAAAACTTATCAAATTATATACCTGGAAAATATGGTTACACTAATGTGAATTATATCTCAATAAACCTGACTAAAAATATTTTTTAAAAAGGCAATGTACAGTATGATAGAAAAGTATAGAGATACAGAACATCTGTCCAGGAGTACAAATGTCTGACTTTTAGGATTACTACCAAAAGAGAAAACTTAAAGGGACGTATTTATCCAAGCAACTATAAAATAATTTTCCTAAAACTGAATTCAAGATTTATGTTTTAAGAAATACCAAAATACCTAGAAAAATTGTTAAGAAAAGGCTCAAACCTGGACCACTGTGAAATTAAATGTAAAGATAATAAAAAGACCCTAAAAATTGCCAGAGAAAAAACAGACATTAAAACATCAAACAAACAAACAAAACCAAGTCACATTTACAGAACAAAAAGGATACCAGCATATGCTAAATATTGATGGTGAAGATAATGGAGGAATTTTTTTTACTTAGGAGAAGACATAAATACTAGGCTAGAATTCTGCACCAAACCCAATAATCAATCAAGTATGAAACAGAAAAGTTATTTTAGACATGAAAAAATGAAGAAAGTAGATCTGCATATATAACACCTTTCCTTATAAGTTATTTGACGATTCCGTCTAGAAAAATAAGAGAATAAACCAAAATATGATGACATAAGGGATTCAGGAGTTAGTGGCATTAGTCTAGGCAAAGGAGGAAAGAATCCCTACAGCTCAGAATGGAGAAGATTGAAGATGGGGGCCGTTTCTTATAGACCAACTTTCAGTTATTATTTTTGTGCTCAACCAATTTCTCATTATTACCATTACCAGAAACTCTTAATATTATTGTCACAACCTCACTTGAAGGTGGTTTAAGTAGATCTTTATAGAGATCTTTATAGCTCCTCTTGAGAGCACATTCAGAGCAAGGTTTTATATTAATATATGTCCTTTATTTCATTAACATCTTCTCATCTTATTTCTTTCTTCCAAGAATTTGTTGAAATCTTCCATTCTTTGCTAACCACTTCCCTTTACTACTTTTCTATACTTTTTAATGTCAGGAAGAATATAGCCCTCTCCTTTATTTTAACTCGTAACCACATTTTTATTTCCATTTTCTTGACAAGGATTATCTTAGATAAATAAAGTTAGTGATTTGATGAAATCCATTTAAATTAAAAAAATAATGCCAGATAGAACCAAATTACATTAATAAACTAGGGATATGTCTTTTAGTCTCTCTTGAACTAGGCACATTAAGAGATTTTTTTTTTTGTAAAAATTGTCTTATATATAACACTTTAAGCTCATTTCTAAAATCTGAAATATTACCTAAAGATCTTAAAAAGGGTACTCACGAGGGTTTCCTGTAAATATAAAACCTTTCCCTCTCATGGTCTTCATCCTTTTCATCCTTCTCAGAATCTTCACTTGAAGAAGACAAACTGTCATCCCGTCGGCCCTCTTCAGGTTGGAAAGGAATGCCTGGTGAAAAGCCTCCTGGAGTTTTGGGAGAACTGAACACGGAACATGATCCTTCGCTATATGAGTAATGGGATGGACCTTCAACGGTTACTGACAAAAGGTCCAGTTCTGTCTCCTCTGGAAACTGATTTGTAAAAAGAAAAAATATGAATCAGATTTGTATTTCAAGTTCCTTCTCAATTAAAAAAAGAAACAGAAAAACTATGTAAGTTTAAACATTCAAAAATTTTCTCAGAGTTGAATTTCGGCACTCTGAAGTGAAAGAAAGGTCAGATTTATGAACATGCAAAATGGTACACCAAGGAAGGAAGCAGAAGGTCAAACCACAGAAAGTCACACCACTGACATACTAGAAATCAAAGTGAAATTTTAGTTTATATAAACATACATTATCATATTAATTAGTGCACATTGTAATTCTTTCAAGCAGAAGTTAAATGTGGAAACAAAAGAAACGTGATCAACTGTAAATCAGAATGGCAAGAGCAATTAGTGATGGAAATGCATGCATAATCAGTACAAAATACATTATTAGTAATATGTCATCATGCCAGTAGATGTTTTTGCGGATATATCTTTTTAAAATGAGCCCCTCATGGATTGAAGAATTATGTATAAATATTAATAGTTGAGTAATAAAACAAGTAACCATCAATCAATCACTTAAGAATGTTGTATTTTAAGGTAAATACAATCAGCTCTCTATATCTATCCACGGATTCAATCGACTACAGATCAAAAATATTTGGGGAAAAAACAATAAAAAATAACAATACAAGAATAAAAAATACAAATAAAAATGTAGTATAACAACTATTTGGTAGCATTTACATTGTATTAGGCATTATAAGTAATCTACGGATGACTGAACATACATGGGAGGATGTACATTGGTTATATGTAAATACTATGCTATTTTATATAATGGACTTGAGCATTTGTGGATATTGGCATCTATGGGCATCCTGGAACCAATCCGCCAGAGACACCAAAGGGCTACTATAGTTTGTATTAAACACCATGTCATTAACTGACAATTTCACCAGGAGGCCACTGTATTTAAGTAGGTAAAAAAAAAAAAAACAAACCCAAAACAAAACAAAAAAACCCTCAAAACTTTCTATAACTTGATTTTAATTCCTAGCTTCATAGAGTTGTTTGAGTATTGCTTGAGAATAAGGCTTTGTAAAGTATAATGTGCAAGGTAATTTATGTGCAATTTATTACTAAAAACTCCTGGATGCTACTATTAGATACATAGTGAAATCCTACAATCAAAATTTCAAACATTTGCAGAATCCAAGTGTTATTTTATGTAGTATACATGCTATTAAGTAAACAAGTAAATCAGATTTTATTTGTTAGAACATTTTCCAATTTTTAAAACTGTGGTAACAGTTTATATAGATTACTATCTCTTTGTTTTATATTTATTTTATATTTAACCATGCCTTAATTACCTATTTTCTAATTTATGATTAGAAATATCTAATAAACTCATATCTATTATCTAATTTATGATTTTTAATGTCATTTTTTTACAAGCAGGATATGCTATTTAAAAATAGGACTTGAATCATTTTAAATATTAATTCCTTTAAGAATCACCTAATTAGCAAAATCCACTCATGTAAATGACTTCTTTCCAAGATTTTTTAAGAAAAAAGGACATGTTTGTCAAGCTCACTATACTACAATCAAATAGTTCTAAAATAAAATCCAGTTTTGACTGAATTCAGTAGAACTATAGGGTATGTATGGAGACTCACGCTTCGAGTGAGGAAAGGAGAACAAAATGTATCTAGAATAAGTGCCAGTTTTTAAGTATAACTTGACAGAAAAATTCTAGACTAAGATTTATATATCTGGTATATAATATGCTTAAAATTAATTGTAACTTTTTACGGTTTATATTCAAAGAAAATATTTGGCTTACAAAAATGATAAGTGATTGTGTAGCACATTTTCCAGTTTTGAACATGAGAATAATTTTTAAAATGAATAGTTTTATAAATGCTCTTTTATACTAGTGACTCAAAAGAAATAACATTCAGTGATTAATTTGTTCTGAATTAAGTTTGATTCCAGTTTGAAATAATTAACTAATCTTTGTTTTTGAAAAGATTCATTTTGTAGCTGAATGTAAGGAAAACCTGATTCGCTTAGGGATTAGCAAATAGCTAATAAATTGCAATTTTTGGTTTATGATTTGGTTGAACTGATTTGATAAGCTGATTTAGACTTAATTTTGAAGATTAAAATAATATTAAACTGTATAGAAGCATAAAACAAAAGTATATGCATGCAAGACCTTATGAAATATACATGATCACAAAGAATTCAAATAATCTTAAACTTTTATGTAAAATATTTCTGAGCTGCTTTGAGTTTAGTTTGAAATGAGAGGAAGACATTTTGAAAGCAGATTTTCAGGGTGGTTAATTAGTTTTAAAGCAAAATTTATGTTGTTCTTAACAAGTACCTGAAAATACCCTTCCCCAGGACAGCTGGATTGTGGTGTACTTCCCCATACTGTATTTTTCAACTTAATTAAAATAATAAGAAAATAAAAAAAAACTCATGAAAAATTAAAAAACAAGCAGTGGTTTAAAAGTAAACAAACATACAAAAAATTAAACAAACATTTTAATATAAATTTTAACATGCTATGAAATTAGAATACAACTTTGATTCTGGTTTCTGCTACTATCTATCTATATATTGAACTAAAAGACATGAATAAGTATAAATATTCTACATTTATATTTTGTGTGGATCCCCACTTGAAAGAAAAATTATTCAATAAAAACCTTTCTACCTAAGAGAAAGCAGTTACAGAGTCTTTATTGTGCATGTAAAACACAACACCTGCCACATGGCTCTCAGATGATCACATGAGGCAGGGCCCCAGTAGTTGGTAACATACAGTTTAACCATGACAATCTACTATTTCACTGTAGGCAAGAAACAGTATAATATCATAATTTTGTAATTTGTAAAAACTATTTAGTAATGCATATCTCTAAACAAATGATATCTTACTGTATCCTGGATATTAAAAGTTACTCTGGGTCCAGGAGATGCTGCATCCACACGGATTTCTGGGAGCTCTTCAGTTTCTCCTACTCGAGAACTGTAAGTAAAATATAAAGTTATAAAACATTAATATTGTCATTTAAAAAGTATTCCTGGACTTTATAAAAGTCTGATTAATGACATTAACATTCTATTTATAAATAATTTACCTTAACAAAGGATTGAACTTTGTGCATTCCATTTCTTAACCTTTAGCATCCCATAAAAAAGACTTAAATGTCTTCATTAACTCAAGATTTTTCTAAAACTAAGCCATATAAAAAAATTTATATGTCTTACTTTGTAGTGCTAATTTACTAATAAGACAGTATTTTACTTCAACAATACGTTAAATTTCCATATGCTAAATGTGTGTGCAATCATACCTTTTCTAAATAGACAAATTTAGAGCAGTAGCTACCAGTATACATATTTTCATTTCTTTGGATAGTCTGTACATTTACACATAAAACTTGTCTAAATAACAATGTACTTCATTACTAAAAAGAACGCACTGCATTGTGGTACAAATGTGATAAAGAAATTCCTCAAATAAATTTCTAAGTTTGATAATATCCACTATTATTGCTATTTTACTAATAAGGTCCATTTTTATTATCTTAATTTTATAATTAGAACATAATAAAAAAAGTAGTGGACCTTGGTAAAAGAGTCAGCAATTTTATTACTTGTTTCATTGGCTAAAATAAATATTACCTTGCCCTTTCCATTCGTTTAAGAGGTGGTCTTCCAGAAGCAGAAATGGTTTTTGATCGGCTATAACTTGGTTTGTAACCCAAACCCCACTTATCCTTTAGTGAAGCAGCCTAATGAAATGGGAGAGAAAAAAGGTGACTATAGTAGATTGTTTATTTTTGCAATATTTGATTTTAGATAAAAGAAAATTCTACTACTAAGTTATTTAGTTCTTCGCTAATTTCTTTTGTCAGAGTTTCGTATGTTTTTTTTTCTTTTTCTCAGTCTCTGTTCTCTTTGCTCTTCAGTTTTTGGGGTTTCTGTGATACATCCTCAAACTCAGAGATTCTTTCTTCAGCTGTGTCCAGTCTATTAATGAGCTCATCAAGTCATTCATTTCTGTCAGTGTTTTTGATCTCTAGCATTTCTTTTGGTTCTGTCTTAGGATTTCCATCTCTCTACTTACATTACCCAACTGTTCTTGCATGCTATCTACTTTATCTATTAGAACACTTAGCATATTAATCATAGTTGTTTTAAATTTCTGATCCAATAATTCCAACATCCCTACTATGTCTGGTTGATGCTCGTTCTGTCTCTTCAGATTGTATATTTTGCCTTTTGTATGCCTGGTAATTTTTTCTTGATAGACAGACATGACTTACCAGATCAAAGGAACTGCTGTAAATAAGCTTTTAGTGAGGTAATGGTAAGGTATCAGGAGAGGGGGAGTATTTTATAGTCCTCTGATTGGGTCTCAGTCTCTTAGTGAGCCTATGCCTCCACACTGCAAACTTCCTAAGTGTTTGTCAGGTTTTTCAGTACAAAAAAGAAATGAGCTATCAAGCCATCAAAAAGCATAGAAGGAACTCCAATGCATATTACTAAGTGAAAGAAGCCAATCTACATACTGTATGATTCCAACTGTATGACATTATGGAAAGGGAAAAATTACGGAGACAATAAAAAAATCAGTAATTGCCAGGGGATTGGGGATGAAAGGGATGAGTGGGCAGAGGACAAAGGATTTTTAGGGCAGTGAAACTACTCTGTTTGGTATTATAATGGTAGATACATGTCATTGTACATTTGTCCAAACCCAATGTATAACACCAAGAGTGAACCCTAATATAAATTATGGTCTCTGGATGATAATGATGTGTCAGTGTAGGACATGAGTAGTAACAAATGTACCACTCTGGTAGGGGATATTGACAATGGGGGAGGCTATGCATGTGTACTGGCAGAGGTTATATGGGGAATCTTTGTCCTGTTAATTTTGCTGTGAATCTAAAAATTGATTTTTACTAAAAAAAATTAATGAAGCAGAAAATGGGAAAAATGGTTTAAAAAAAAGTTTTCCACTACTAGACTCAAACTTTAGTGAGGGCAACTAAACCTGCAAAACATAAAGACAAAAATAAAGTTCTAAGTGTATACAGTGGCTGAAAGGTGAAATTCTGACCACGGAGAGTGGGTTAGGGGAAGAACGGACATCTCAAAAGATTTCAGAGTTCACATTTTTTTCAGAGTTCACATTAGAGACTAAAAAGCAAGTGTGATTTCATGAAAGGCAGACAAAACACAGTGACTAAGGGCATGGACTACAAGAGTCCCACTGCCTGGGTTTGAAACTTGGCTCCCCCAGGATTACTGGCCATATAATCTTGGTCAAATTACTTGACCTCTCTGTGTATCTGTTTCCTCATCTTTAAAATGGGAAAATAATACAAGCTGCCTCATAGGGGCACTGTGAAGATTTAATGGGTTGTTAAATGTAAAGTGCTTTAAACAGTGCCTGGTACATAGTAGATATGGTATGAAAAAAATTAGATGGTATTATCACCAGCTTTGGAAGAAAAAAGAGAACAAGATAAGCATCATCACAGATAAGTTTCATAAAGTAAAAAAATTTTAAAAAGTCTACTTTAATAAAATTCTTCTTAAACGTTTACTCACTCGCATACTGGATCTCCGTAATTTTTTACGAACATCTCTACGAATGTCATTCACAGCCACAGATTCTAACTGTTGGTAACGTTGAATTTCCTGGTTTATGGTTCCTTCACTTGCACCTAATTTTCTGGATGCAAAACAAATTATTGTAAAGAAGTAACGAAATAAGATTGATTTTTACTTGCTCCTTTTTAATTCTTTGACTTGTCAGAATACTAAACATTATATACGGACAGGCCAAAATCCTCTATAAGTTTAACCCTCATATCTGGCAAACTTAAAAAAAAAAACAAAACTAAATAACAAAAAAAACCCTCTCTCTAACGTTTGAGGAATGTTTCTTACCCATTACTGCATCAAGAGTTTCTTTGGCAATCTCATGAAAACCAAAGACTCACTCTGCAAAAAAATGTCTGTATGTAAAATTCTACATATAATAAAAGCCTCAGGTAAAATTTTGGACGAAGAGTATATTCTGCTTCAAGTTACTTTTTCCCTGGAGAACAAAACTCAAATTGTAATATAACTCAACAGGAAAATGTAAATCACAGTATGATAATTTACAGACAAAGTTTAGGCAAAACTAAAGCCTAAAAAGTCTTAGGCAAGTTTTATTGTACAAAATGTGTATATTTGTGTTATAGTCCTTGAATGTAAACACACACACACACACACACACACACAAACACACACAGAAAGGTGTAGATGTATGCAGATTAGAAAAGATGAAGCATGACCATTATCTTTTGAAAAAACAAAAATTTCAAAGTTTAGGAAGAAGAATGTTTATTCTTAGGAAGTATTAGTCAGTACTATGCAATGGGCAACAAATATAGAAAAAAAATTACTACCACCTACTATGCCCTCATGACTCACCCAACTCCCCACACCTCAGTTCTTGAGAAATACTAATATAGGTGGCAAATAAATAAATAAAAAGCATAAACTTTTAATTCAGACACAAGTTCAAATTGCAATTCTTTAACTTCTCTCAGCCAATTTTCTCATCAATAAACTTTGGATAATGCCTTCTAACCTCACAGAAATGTTATAAGGATTAAATTGAGATAACATATGTCAAATTCACACAATAGGTACTTAATGCTGTTTTCCTCCTCTAGAAAACTGCATTCCGGAAATACTAATGTTAGCAAAAGACTAATGCGTATATTTATATATGCATGTGAAGATATGTGTAAGTATACATATACATGTAGAGATAAATATGTATGATGTAAAATCATGTCATAACGTTCTCAGAAATAAGGAGTTGTGAAGAGCACTAGATGAAGATTTCAGGTCTATCTTTATCAGTAATGAAATGCATGATCTCAAATCAATTACTAAACTTCTCTGGACCCTGGTGATTATCACTGATAAATTAAAGGGTTTGTATTAGTCCAAATCATTTCCTCCACATTTAACATCCATGATTCCATTATTAGGGAACATTAAATTAAAATCACTATACATACTTAAGATCATCTATCACTTTGGCCTGTTCATTCAGTTCTCTGATATCCACTATGCGCTTCATAATTTTTCTTCCTCTAAGTTCTCCTGGCTGGCTAGAAGATGCTCCTTGTCTTCGATAATCTATAGCTTCCTGAAAAATTGAAATCATATCTGTCAATGCCATCATCACCCTCAGGTCACCCAGCAAATCTATACTATCACAAAATTAATACCTTAAATCAAAGTAAGCATGCAAGAATCAAGGTTATCTATATTAAGTAATATGATTGGAATTCCCCATTGATTCAAATCTCTTCATTCTCATAAGGTATCTACTGAGTTGCTACCTACATTTCCCCATGAGCGTGCTCTGCATGCTTTCAAATGGGACTGGCTAGACTGAGGGGAGCCCCACATCTCTGGGTCACACAGATACTCTGCAGGAACAGAATAGCGCTGATGTGGGGGCGTCAGGCCTAGTAGGTGATTTACAATTCGCTGCCCAAAGGTGAGCTTGTGGCCATCTCCACTTACTGAACTTCCATCTGAATTCTAAATAATAAACAGTAATATTAATTTTTAAAAAATTTCTGTCCAAGAACAAAACTATTTCATGGTACAACAGTTGAAAGAGGTTTAAAATAATTTTAAAAGATCAATACCAGAGTGAAAGCAAAACTTTTTGACTACTAAATAACTTTATATTATAGAATATATAGATGTATAGTATAGATGGAAATACATACTTTTAAAATGTATACTTTCATTTTGTGTGTGTACTTTTTTTTTGAGATTCATTTTTTAACATCTTTATTGAGATTTAATTCACATACCATAAAATTCAGCCATTTAAAATGTACAATTCAAGTCATTTCTAGTATACTCACGAAGTTATACAACCTTCATCACAATCTCATCTGGGAACATTTTCAACACCCAAAAAGAAACCTCATACGTATCAACAGTCTCTTCCCACTCTCCTCTCCTGCCCCACTTCCTACTCTCCCAGTCCTAGGCAACCACTAATCTACTTTCTCTCTAGATTTGCCTGCACTTCACTTTTAATATTACTACATTACCTACAGGTTACGGCACAAGTTGGACGACAGTCATTATGAAACACAGAATTTGATTAAAAAACAATATTATGAAATGTAGACACAGGGAACCACTACTCCCTTCCCCTTCCTCCACAAATAGCAAGTGTAATATATTAAATAACACTGAATTAATAATAACCCTGTCTCAGGGTAAAAGCCAGTCCTGAAAAATTCCAACAGTGAGTTTACTTACAGTATGGATAGTGGGAGACATAGTATCAACTTCATCTTCATCTGACAGGTCGGCTATGTTCACTGAATTTAAGTCAGCAATGTCATCTATGTCCTCCTCTCCTGTTAGTGTTGTGAGGGTATTGCCCAGAGCATTGAGCCTTTTGCCAATGTTAGGATCCATGTGGACGTCAATCCCACACATTTTCCACAATACATTGAGTGTCCAGGTTCCAGCACTACTACTTTCTGTTTAAATACAGAAGTGGCATTTTTGATAAGTCCTGAGATAGGAATTTAAATAATTCTACACTTACGTGATAAAGTGGATGATGATCATGTATATTAACTAATGTCTTCCACAGCTAGATTTGTCAGAAACATTAGACTATGGGATTGATTTTCCTATATGTATAGTGTGCATCTATTGTTTCCTCTGTACAGCACCCTTCTTTTTCCTTCAGATGCCTTCCCCTATGCCCAAGCTGATACATCATCCCACAGCTGTAGTAGGAATTGCCATGACCCTAGCTCATTAGACAGAATTAATTAGGTAACTGGTCCAGGTGAAGGTCAGAGCTAGAAAAATAAGGATCTTTCCCTGGACTCCAGAAAAGTTGGTCACTCTCTAATGACTGAGGATGGGGAAATGAGGCTTGTGAGCTCTTGGCAACCACGCTTCCTGCCATGTGTAAGGAAGAGGTCATCAGTTTTTTTAAAAAAATGAAGCAGTCACAGAGGAGCAAAGACAAAAGCTGGAAAGATCCTGGTGACAGTTGAGATCTTGATCCCAGCAGTTCCAAAGGCCTCTGAATTGACTAGGTTCTTTCTCTTTCCTGAAACAGCCATTCCTAAGTTTAATTTTAATCTGCAAATATCCTTTAATCCTTTTGGTTAAGCTGATTTGAGTGGATTGTTGTCACTTAAAAACAAGAGTCCGGACAAAGACTTTTATGTGACCTCTCTCCCAATATGTGTGTTTGCTTCAGTCATCACACTTTCCTTCTAACATTGCTGCTGGAAATTTCCTAACTTTTTCAGTTCTCTGTCAATGGGGACTACAGGCCTTGGTGCTTTCTGAGATAACTTACTTAGGATCAGCAGTGAGGCTAGGAAGATAATAGAAAACAGTAGAGAGAGCCTGTAAATCTACTAACCTTAATCAGTTTCTACCCCTCTCAACATTTTAAGAGCCCTTAAATAAGTATCTCTCTTTATAAGAGTGAAATAAAAATTTACATTCCACTATCATCTTAGTCAAGACAAGTTATTACTTCCACAGTTATGTTCTAACTAGTTTCCTCAGTTTTTTTATCCTTTAATTTTTGAAAGTGTCCCTTTGATAGCATCGCCATCTGCCTTCTTGTTCAAAATCATGCAGTGGCCTTCCCACTGCTCACCAAATCAAGTTTAAACTCCTTAATTTGGCATTTAACATTTTTCCCATCTTACTTTTCACATAACTCTCTGTTCCAGCCAAATTGGGCAATGCTAAGTAGACACTGTGCTTTAACATCATGTTTGATGTTATTCTCTCTGCCTGAATTTTCTTTGGCCCACAACTCCCAGTTTTTGCATAAGGAACATTTGCATCTCTGTTTAAATGCTTATTCTTCCATGAAATTTTCCCTGCTCCCAGTGTCCCATAGTTGGAAGTATTTCCCCCTCTTGTACATTCCAATAGCAACTGGAATTTTATATCTTATAGTACATATCATTTATTTCAATGTAATTTTGCTGCATATACCTTAACTATATAATCAAAATTTAAATGTATGGAAGATAGTATATTTTACTCATCTTCATCTTTCCCCAAACATTTTGCAGTGTATATTATACACACTAGGTGTCTAACTGAACAACTGTTAACTATTACAAAACAGTTTTTTTTATTTTAATAGATTTCGGAGGTACAAGTTGAATTCTGTTACATGTATATATGGTATAGTGGTGGAGTCTGGGCTTTTGGTGTACCCATCATTCGAGTAGTATACATTGTACCCCATCATCCCTCATCACCTCCCAGCCTCCCCCTTTGTGAGTTTCCATCACTCTGTGTGAAAAATAGTTTTTATTAGTGAACACCAGAATTAGCTTAGCTAAAAGATTCTTTTGCCACTAAATAAAGGCAGAATTCTATCTGATACACGTAACAAAAGTAATACTGAATGTGAACCTACCAGCTGCTGCTTGTCCTGTAGTCCGTGAACATACCTCATAGGTGCCATCTGGAACTACACCTGCACAAATATAACCCCAGCAATAGTTTTCAATAAAAATATTCTTGTGACTAAATATTGTACTCTAAAAGGAAGGATTCTGACTTTCCCGTGAAGAAGGTCACAAGACTCTCATGTGAGAGGTGCCCTCCCTATATAAATCCAGGGAAAAGCAGTATTCTTATCTCTGAAATGGAGGGGTGTTGAACAATGGCCTGAACAAACAGGCCTTGCTAAGTTTCTCCCAGTTTACTACCCTTGACTCAAACCCCTTTTTGTTCTCTTGAAGTTTTCCACAACTGTTTATTCTTCATCAAACCCAGTATAAAAACACTCAAGTTTAACCATTTCTTTGGGACTTCATTGTCTTATAAAAGTTCTCATGTCACATAAAACTTCTATTAAATAAGTCGGTATGCTTTTCTCCCATTAAGCTATCTTTTGTAAAAGGGATCCCACAGAGAATCTAAAAAGGTAGAAGGAAAAGATATTTTTCCTTCTCTACACATCAAAATCAAGAATTTCACCTATAATTTTATCAAAACATTGAATGTTAAAACTTCAGTTTTTGGTATAAAAACAATGAAAAGGTTTCCCATTCTTCAAAGAAAACCCAGATGGAAAGATTTCCCTCTAGTGGAGAGAGGAAAAAAATTGCATAAACAACAGCATAGCACCTTCTAAAATGTAATTAAGTATTACTTAATTTACAAGATTGGCTGAGGAATTTTAGTTCACAACCTTTTAATTCCTCAATTATAATTTTTATTCATTTTTAAGATTAATGATGCTTTACCAATTATGCTATTAATATTTAAAATATTAAAACAGAAACAAATAAACCCCTATACCTTCAAAATAGCATATAAACATAGCTTTAGTTATACCTAACACTGAGTATAATGGAATTGGAGGATTTCACATGTTACACTCTGTATTCCTACAAATTTGGACATGTGGATTTATTCATGTCAATATCAATTAAGGATGGAGTTTCTGGTCCTGGCTATTATACAACCTTTTCTGTGTTTTATAATGAATTGGATCTTAAGCAATTATCACTTTCTTTCAAGATCCCCATGGAACCAACATGTTTTATCTAGTCATTCATGGATCAGAGGAAAAATCAGGGAGTGAGCAAATCTTCAAATGTTATACCATCAAAAAGAATGCTTGGTTGGTTTACTTCCTAAAATTACTGAAAGCCGCAGTTTTTCACAAACATGTTTTGTTACCTTTAACTAGAAATAGCTCTTCTTTCTCAAAGTCTAAAAACACTCCTATATCTGAACATCCTTTAGTTTTACAAAGGAGACTTACTATATTACTTTTTAAAGTTCTAAACCTCATATAGAAAATAATGGATACTCACAGGCATTCATCACTAAATCCCCACGAATTTCTGGTTTCCAGTCATCCCATGATGTCTCAAAGCCATCAGCAAACCGGATACAAAAATTTTTGAAATGCCCTTTGCTAACCAGAGATTCTGAAGAGCAAGCAGTGATGAGAGTACTTTCAATGGTCAATACTAAAGCAGAACCAGTGTCCAGGTCTCCAGTGTGATTAGACTGCAAAATACATTAAAGAAGACATAAGATAAAAGGTGACAATTTTTTAAATTTAGAAATCCTCACTGGATTCATAGGAACAAAAATCTAGAAAAGATCAAGCCTAGAAATCTTCATTGAAAAGCAGCTTAGAAAGATAACTTCTAAAAATTGAATTACTCAAGTGAAATGCACTTGCCATGTGCATTTTTTTCTTACTTAATTTGCAAAGGGCTAATTATCTATTTTTCTATCTCAAGCCTCTCTTTTAGTGATGGGGAGCACTCCTGCTATGACACACCCTTGGTGTGTACAGCCTTCGTAAGCCCTATCCAGCACACCATTAAAAACTACCATATTTCATTTCCTGAAACACAAACATACCAATGTTGCCCATCCTCAACCCAAAGTTTTTCTTAACACCATCTTATCAAACAGAATTCTAAAAGATAAATTCATTCAATAATAGATTACAGGTTATTTAAAGTAAATTCTAACAGTAAAATATAGACCTCTGTATTTGACTATTGTAACTTTTGCTTCTTGGCCTGACAGGTGTTCACAGTACTTTTCTCTCTCATATGCACACGTACATGCAAATATATTTCTGAGACTTGTTTCTAAATTATGAAGAGAAATGCTTGCTTTATCCAGGTGTATTCATAACTTTGAAGTTTCATTAGCATTAAATATTACAGTTTAAAAGCATTTTGGAATCCCCTACTCTACTATAGATGACTTTATTAAATAGTATTTTTAAATATCCTTTTATTTCCATTTTATAAACAAGTCTATACCAAAGATTTCTTTGCTAAAAAACAAAAGATTCTGAAAACTAAGCTTATTTATTAAGGTAAAAAACAAGAATTATCAAATGGGTGTCAATCTTTTCACTATTCTGAAGCATATCAGAGTGTTTCAGAGAAAAGTCTCATGAGATTCAGATTTAACACACTATAGATGAATAATAGTTGAAGGAGTTCAATCTTACTTGCTATCTACTGAAGTCTACTAAACTTGCTATCTATTACATCATTATAAGCCATCATCCTGAAAAAAATTATTGTTATATTCTACATACTTAGAAATGGTCAAATAGAAATGCCTGGCTCTTAGTCCTGGAGTATGACTTGATTTTTTGTACCTGTGCAGTATTTGTGATAGGTAGGCAAATTCCCAGATCATTGACAGTGAGCTGGAGGAAAAGAGTCCCAAAGGCCTGGGCTGATGTTTGCTGGATGCCAGGTAGCATATCTACTACTTCCTTTGTAGCCATATGAATATCCTTATGTAAAGCCATTCGTTGTTCATTCCAATTGTCATAGGCAGCCTTATAATTCAGCCAAAACAGCACAGCTTTTGAAAATTAAGGCAGGGCAGAAAAAAAATTGAAATCAACACTGTAAATCTTTATGGTAAGTAAACTCAACAGCTGCAAAATCCTGTGGATTAATACAAATTACTCTCAGAAAACTGCCACATTAAAATTAGAAAGGATCTAAGAGGATATATAGTCAACATTTTTCATTAACAAATGAAAAAGTGAAAAAGAAAGCAGGCAGCTGAAAGAAAGAAGAAAATCCAGGCCCATTCCTTCATTCACTGACTTATTTGTGAAATGTCTATTATATGCTAGGCATTGCGATGGAATAACAAGCAAAAACAGATATGGTACTTGACCTTATCTGTAGAGCTTACTGTTTCTATTTTTAAAAATTCTTGAAAGAGAGGTACATAATGCTAGGAATATACATTAAAAGAATTTGATATAAAGAGAAAGGTCAAGGATGTCTGAGCTTATCAACAAGAAATAAATCTGAAGGAAAACCTTCATTTCACAGCAGTGCATAGATGGAGAAGCCTAAAAAAGAAATAAAGATGATGGGGCCACAGAAGCAGGAGGAAAAGGAAGTACGAGTTGGGCATCCCTACTTTGAAATGTGAAATCCAGAATGCTCCCAAATCGAAAACTTTTTGAGTGCTGACATGATGACGCCACAAGTGGAGAATTCCACACCTGACTTCATGTGACAGATAGCAGTCGAAAAGTAGTCAAAACTCTGTTTCATGCACAACATTATTAAAAATGTTGCATAAAATTATCTTCAGGCTATGTGTATAAGGTGTATATGAAACATAAATGAATTTCATGTTTAGACTTGGGTCTCATCCCCAATATATCTCATTATATATATATGCAAATATTCTAAAATCTGAAAAAAATCCAAAATCTGAAATGCTTCTAGTCCTGAGGATTTTGCTGGTGAAAGCTGATGACAAGTCAGCAAAATGAGAAATGAAAAACATGCACACAGGATTTGGCAAAATAAAATGTTATCTGTAACATTGCCAAATGGGTAATTTTCTAACAAACAGATCTTATTATTAATACCAGCTTATACCCTCACTGGTCGAAATCTTAAATGGTTTCAAAAATGGTTCATTACCTTTAAAGTACAATTCAAACATATTTGCCCAATCTACATTAATTAGATCCTGTCTACCTCTTCAGCCTGCTTTCCCATTATTTTCTTTTATGAAAGCTGTTACTATATTTTCTAAGACCTCTGTGATCACAGACACATTCACATTCTTTCTCATTTTGCAAATGTTTATTTAGTTCTTCCTGTGCGCCCAGGATTATTCTAGGCCCTAGGATACAAAGGTAAATAAGAGAAACTTTCATTTCCTTGTCTACCTGGTGAACTCTTAACTAAAATTTGAATGTGAAGAATTAGATTCTCCTTTTTAAAAGCACAGGCAAAGTTAGAGACTTCCTCAGATCCTAGAACATACATCTTTAACTCCATTTTATATTCTACTTTGGTCTCTTTTCCACTGGACTGAAAGTTCCTTGAGGGGAGGGATCCTGTTGTCCATTTTTAAATATTTACATTATAAATATTTATAGAACAAATGAACAAACATAGTGCCAAAATGCAAACAGGTACATTAGTTATCAAAACAAAAAAATAGAATTATAACTAAAAATTTTGAATCAGAAACTCTTATGTATCTATATAGAAAGCAAAATAACTTTAAAATGTAAAATAACTTTTAAAAATTGAAGGGAATAAGCAAAAACTTTTTTTTTTGGATGTCCACATTTCAGATTTAGGAGACATTTAGCTGTTAAGCATTTACACTGGTAAACTAGAGATGATTTATCTAGCATTACCAAAACATTTCTAAATCCTAGAAGATAGTTTAATCTTACCTCTATCAAAGGCCACAGGCTGTGCATAAACAATTGGTCTATTCAAAGTAATAAGCACGGCTTCCCTATCTGAAGAACCACTGATTTCTTCCCGGAGGGCATTTCTTAATCCTATTCTGGTTTTAAAATAGGCAACTTGATGAAAATCAGAACCAGCTTCCTCATAAACCTAAAATAAAATTTAAAGCTCAATAAAATCAAATAATGGAAAATATTTTAATAAAAAGCTAAATACCATTAATGATATTGTTCACCAAAAAAACTAAAATATATTCTTCTCAATTTTAATTGTTAATGATATATTCCTTATATTCGACACTTGAAATTAATATACAATATAAATAGCCTTGTAAAAGGTAAATATGAAGTCATAAATAAAGTTTATATAAAAGCTAGGAGGAGATTGAATGGCAATGTATTAAATGTTTCAAAAAAATTAGAACTTCTCAAAATGTGTTTCCATGAGAAGAAATTACTTTTTCTAGAAATGACAAGAAATTTTAGTTCACTTTTTTCCCCCACATAATATTTACTGTACCAATTCAATTTTGAAACTATGATTGGCATTATTGTACTTGGTTCTTCAAATCAAAGAGGGAAAAAAGGTTAAAATCTACATAATAATTTTTAGCAAAATAAAAACGAAACAAACTCCAATGAGCTGTAAAAGTTAATTTTTATAAAATAGAGAATTTGACTACCTATTGTCTATTTCTTTAACTTTATATATGTAACATTATCATACGCAAAACTTGCCAATATTCTATAGGGAAAGTATAAACTTAACATTTTAAGAACTGAGCAATGTTAGTACAAGGCATTGAAATAAAAAATAATGTTTAATAAAATAAAACAATTACAAGTAAAATATTTATGAAGATACTAGAGTTAAGTTTCATTGACTGTATTTGCACTAAACTATAACAATATGCTGCCATAATACTCAATGAACTGCCAAGGTAAAATTATGAAAGCTTTCTTAAATGAGTTTTCATTAGAATTTACAATCAGAAACTTTAGGAACTTAAACTAAATATTTTTGTAGATATAGTAATGCATAAGTTAAAGTAATTTAAATTGATATGCAAAATTTAAAACCACAGTTCTAATATCAATATATTCTATACTCACTTGATGTTTGACAATTTGTCCTAAAGCCAGATTTAAATCCACTTGGCATTTACCAAATAGTTTCAGATAGCTACTACTTCCTGGTGAAGCTTTGGTTTGAAGTCGGTTAGAAAGTTCCAGTTCAATCAATCCAGTTTCAAATCTCACAGCTCTCATTGATGGAGTAGTGGCCGTTACTTGAATACCCTAGCAAATTATACATTAGGAGGAAAAAATAATCGTAAATCAACAATATACACCCACTCAAATGCAATCTTTCAATATACAATAAATAAAACAGCTGTGTTTTAAAATACATACAGGCATACTTCAGAGATGAATGCAGGTTCAGTTGCAGACAACTGTAATGACGTGAGTATTGCAAAAAAGCAAGTCACACAAACTTTTTGGTTTCCTAGTGCATATAAAATGCTATGTTTACACTGTACTATTGTCTATTACATTGCCTATTAAGTGTGCAACAGCATTATGTCTAAAAAAACCAACATATATACCTTAATTAAAAAACACTTATTGCTAAAAAATGCTAACAATCATCTGAGCTTTTAGTGATTTGTAATCATTTATTCATTCATTCATTCATTTTAAGAGATAAGGTCTCACTCTGTCCCCCAGGCTGAAGCACACTGACACAATCTCAGCTCACTGTAACCTCAACCTCCTAGGCTCAAGAAATCCTCCTTCCTCAGGCTTCTGAACAGCTGGGACCACAGGCATGTGCCACCAAGCCCAGCTAATTTTTTTTTTTTTTATATATATTTTATAGAAACCAAGTCTTGCTATGCTGCTCAGGCTGGTCTTGAACTCCTGGCTTCAAGCGATCCTCCTGCCTTGGCCTCCCAAAGTGCTGAGATTACAGGTGTGAGCCACCATGCCCAGCCATGAGTTACGATCTTTTTGCTGGTAGAGGGTCTTGCCTTGATGTTGATGGCTGCTTACTGACCAGGGTGATGGCTACTGAAGGGTATGGTAGCTGTGGCAATTTCTTAAAATAAGACAACAGTGAAGCTCACCACTGATTGACTCTTCCTTTCATGAAAGATTTCTCTATTACACGCTATGCTGTTTGATAGCATTTTACCCACAGTAAAACTTCTTTCGAATTGGAGTCAATCCTCTCAAATCCTGTTGCTGTTTTATCAATTAGGTTTACGGAACATTGATTTCAACAATGTTCACAGCATCTTCAACAGGAGTAGATTCTATCTCAAGAAACCATTTTCTTTGCTTATCCATAAAAAGTAACACCTTATAAATTCAAGTTTTATCATGAGATTGTAGCAATTCAGTCCCATCTTCAGGTTCCTCTTTTAATTCTAGTTCTCTTGCTATTTCTACCGCATCTGCAGTTTCTTCCTCCACTAAAGTCTTGAACCCATCAAAGTCATCCACCAGAGTTAGAATCAACTTCTTCCAAACTCCTGGTAATGTTGGTATTTTTACCTCCTCCCATGAATCTTAATGGCATTTAGAATGGCGAGTCTTTTCTAGGTTTCTAATTTACTTTGTACAGGTCCATCAATCACTATTTATGGCTGCTATAGACTTATGAAATGTATTTCTTAAATAATATGACTTCAAAGTCAAAATTACTCCTTGATCCATGGGCTGCAGAATGGATATTGTGTTAGCAGGCATAAAAACAACATTAATCTCCTTGTATATCTCCATCAGAGCTCTTGGGTGATCAGTGCATTGTCAATGAGCAGTAATATTTTAAAAGAAATCTTTTCTTCTGAGTAGGTCTCAACAGTGGGCTTAGAATATTCAGTAAACCATGCTGTAAACACATGTGCTGTCATCTGGGCTTTGGTGTTCCATTTATAAAGCACAGGCAGAGTGGGTTTAGTATAATTCTTAAGGACCCTAGGATTTTCAGAATAGCACATGAGCATTGGCTTTAACTTAAAGTCACTAGCTGAGCTACCCCCCAGCAAGAGAGTTAGCCTGTCCTTTGAAGCTCTGAATCTAGGCATTGACTTCTCTTCTCTAGCTATGAAAGTCTTAAATGGCATCTTCTTCCAGTAAAAGGCTGTTTCGTTTACATTGAAAATCTATTGTTTAGTGTAGCCACCTTCATCAATGATCTTAACTAGATCTTCTGGATAACTTGACGCAGCTTCTCCATCAGCACTTGCTGCTTCACCTTGTACTTTTATGTTATGGAGATGGTTTCTTTCCTCAAACCTCATAAACTAACCTCTGCTAGTTTCTAACTTTTCTTCTGCAGCTTCCTCATCTCTCTCAGCCTATTCTATTATAGAATAGAATTGAAGAGAGTTAGGGTCTTGCTCTAGATGAGGCTTTGGCTCAAGGGAATGTTGTGGCTCGTCTGATCTTCTGTCCAAGCCAGAAAACTTTCTCCATATCAGCAATAAGGCTGTCTTGTTTTCTTATCATTTGTGGGTTCATGGGAGTGGCACTTTTAATTTTCTTCAAGAACTTTCCCTTTGCATTCACAACTTGGCTAACTGTTTGGCACAAGAGACCTACACTTCAGCCTATCTCAGCTTTTGACGTGACTTCCTCAGTAAGCTCAATCATTTCTATTAAGTAGCTTTTGATTTAAAATAAGAGACATGTGACAATATTTAACGATTAAATTTTCCATCTTCTATGGGTGAGTTCCTGGCACGCCAAAACAATTACAACAGTAACATCAAAGATGACTGATCACAGATCATCATAATAGATATAATAATATTGAAAAATTACCAGAATGTGACATAGAGACATAAAATAAGTACATGCTATTGGAAAAGTGGTGCCCACAGACTTGCTTGATGCAGGGTTGCCATAAACTTTTGATTTGTAAAAAACTCAATACCTGTGAAGTGCAATCAAGCAAAGCACAATAAAACAAAGTATGCCTGTATAGGATATATCTAATGAATTGATAAAACTGGCAACATTCTTTAATTTCTTATGTTAGTATGGCTTTCTTAGCTATTAAATTTCATTTCAATATTTCATATTTAAAATTTAGAGTGTTCCATGGGTTGAATGCAATAATTATAATTAAATAACTAGTTGGTAAGAATGATTTTTATTTTTATGAACATTAATGTCTTAACTATTGAAAATATTAAGGTTTCTATCAAAATATTACTGTTAATTAGACAAGTACGAAATATTTCTTGCAGAGTAAATTATAACAGCAATAATTGGAAAAAAACCAAAATTTCATAAGAAGGGAGTCGTTAAACTGTTATAACTGTATAACATATAACACAGATGTTCAATAAGATGATCTAAATATTCTGATATGGAGAGGTATCCATAGATTTTTGAAATGCATAAATATATGCATAAATAAAAATACTAATATAAAAAGTCCTGAAAAGGCCAGGCATGGTGGCTCATGCCTGTGATCCTAGCACGTTGGGAGGCTGAGGGTGAGAGGATCATTTGAGGCCAGAAGTTTGAGACCAGCCTGGGCAATAGTGAGACCCCATCTCTACAAAAAATTAAAAAAAAAAAAATTAACCAGGTATGGTGGTGCACGCCTGTAGTTCCAGCTACTCAGTAGACTGAGGCAAGAGGGTTGCTGGAGCCCATGATTTTGAGGTTGCTGTGAGCTATGATCATGCCACTGCACTCTAGCCCGAGCAATAGAGTGAGATCCTGTCTCAAAAAAAAAAGAAAGAAAGAAAAAAAGTCCTAAAAATAGTCAAACAGTTGTTTAAGCTTTTTCTCTGAGTAGATGGAGTTATAGTTCATTTTTATTTTGTCTGGTAATTTATGTATTATTAATATATGAATTTTCTATGACAAATGTATATTAATTGATTAGTAAAATGCTTCTATAAGTATCAATTATTATTTATGTTACCTTAAATTGCAAGTTCAGGGAATAGAGGAGAATTTTAGGCTTATCTCCATCTGCTGTTCCATCATGTTCATTCCAGAGAGGAATAGGCTGCTCCCCACCTAAAAAAAGTTAGATAATTGAGGGTTTGGGGCAATTTCTCTAAAAGGAAAAAAAAAAAAAATAACTATTTTGTGTATTAAAAAAAACCCTCACATGATACGTATTTTCTTTTTACTGACCATTAAGTCAGTCTTTAACAGAGCTCTTTAGCCAAGTTACATTTCAATGAGGCAGATGTATAGAAGACATTGTCTGCATGTATAGACATTTATTAAGAATAATTTAATAAGAACTAATTAAAACATTATACCCATAATTGAACCAAATGTGACTGTACATCTCAGAAAATACATATGAAGGAAAATAAACCAGATTAATTTCTTCAACTAACAATGTGAACTGTTTTTTATCTTTAGATGTGCTGTAAACAAAAAAGAATGAACAAAAAATAAAGGTGGAGAAATGAAAAATAAGGTAATACATGCCTAATAATAAAGAGTGTGACAATAAATGTTTGTCCTACAGATTAAAAAATATTAGGGGTAGGGAGCCCTAATAACGTTCCTATTAACAGAGCATTTTTCGCCCAAGCAATGTGGCATTCAGAAAATAATGTTCTAATATTTTAATATCTAACTTCTATTTGCACTTCTCTTTCTGTTGATCTGAAAATTTTTCTGTATGCTTATCTTTCAAATATTCTATCTTAAAATGATTAATTTTTTGTACATATGTGGAGTTTAGCATTACCCCAGGGAGTCTGTATAGGTAGGATGGGAATTTTTTTTTTTTCTATTAGGGGACCACTGATGTATCAAAAGAACTAATAACCAAATAAGTAAAAAGTAGCTTTTGTTTGTTTTGAGATAAAAATGAATCTTTTATGGGTTTCTGAAATGTAAACTAGAAGTCAAAATCTATTCAATTAGTATCATGACAGAAATTTATTTTGGTTTTCTACTAGAATAGAAAAAGAAAAAATGGGAAGAAAGGTATAGAAAGAGGCAGTGATTAACAGAAGGCACGTGCAAGGTAAGGCAGAGGAAACGTAGACAATGAAACATAACTTGGCCCAAAGAAAGAAAAAAGACATTTGTACATAAAGATGAATAAACACACAGGAAAGAGAAAGAAAGAATGATATGGATGATGAGATAGGGAGCAAAGTATTCAAGGTTTGTGGATCAAATTCCAGAACACATTACTAATCTCATGTTTTCAAAGATACCATGACATCATTTCTACTCTGAAGTATAGACTGAATTATATTCAAGAAAAAATATTATAAAGAATAATGTCTACATTTTGAGGATTTGTCAGAATATTGCTACTCAAAATTGTTTATGACTCTATGCCTACCCTGACACTTTCTAACAGGATGGGTGAAAGTAAGTCAGAAGAGTTCTTAGTTTCTCCCCTGGCTCTACAGGCAAGAGCATGGTTAAGAGTAACCATGAGATACAACAAACACATCATTATATTTGATCAGATGAGATCAAATAAGAGCTCCACTGATTCTTCTTTTGAAAGTTGGCCATCTCTTCTGTTTGACCAATTAAATAATGAATAACTAGGATTTTTTCTAAGTAATAAGAATAAAAATAAATATGAGGAAAATCTGAATCTGCTTATATGGTCTATCTATCCATCTAATCTTGGCTGCTTTTGTGTCAAGCAAATTTTATTTGAGATTATGGCATAAATATATAATTTTAAGTGCATCTTATCCATTATACTTGGTTAAGTTATTAACTTGTTTAGGCTATTATGAAACTATAGCTAGCCTGACAATTTTCTGAAAAACATTAGCATGACTTAACAAAGCCTGTGTTTAGGAAGTGTCGTTACACAGAGTCTTTCCCCAAGAGTTAAAGACTATACTGAGGTGTTTCTCTGGATTAGCCATCAGGCTGTTAATTCCTTGGGACTTCTTTGCTATCCTTCTTAATAAAATATGTTTCTGGCCCAATTCTAAGAAGGTAATCTCCTCATATGCTTTTCTCTATGATGGCTGTACATACTCAAAAATGGGTCTCTTCTGTTTGCTTGGTCAGTGATTACCTAGATCTTTCTGAAACCCAAGCACTCCTATAAGTCCTCCATGGACAAATAAGAAATGATTCTTTAGAAAAGCATCTTCCTGATGAACTTGATGATTGTTGTGAACATATGTCTTCCTATACAATAGAAAATGTCCTAACACTAAATGTAACATGAAGGAAAACCATGAAGAAGAATATAAGAAAAAATAAGGAAAATAACTACGAAGATTATGGGAGAATAGAGAGGCAATACAGAGATCAGAATACTGAGAAATTTGAGCAACAAGCGCTCAAAGCATTTCCTCTCAATATTCTGTTATGTTCTCTGGTCTTGAAAGAGTAACAGAACGCCTCTGCTCCATCAGGCCCCGTGGCCACCTAAATGCTAAGTAACTTACATTTCAGCCATTTTCTCAGGGTTCATGGCTGTCTCTGCAGTCAAGAAGAAATAGTTCAAGGAGCAGACCTAGCCACTAAATGACTTTGGCACTATAATCTGATCTCTTTGTTCTTCACAGTGATTAAAAAGTCTTCATGTTTAGAATATTTATTTCCAGTCCTCTTTTTCCATTTCATTCTCAAAGAACTTGGGATATACTTGTATCTCTTGCCTGCAATCTAAAGGTTAAAAAAAGCCTTTCTCTTCCATAAAAAGCACCTTAAGGGAGGCTTACAGTGACAATCCGATACTAAGAACTCTACAATGCCAGCTTTTTACCATGAGAAATAACAAGATTAATGTAAGAGTCTATTTTTTAATTATACATACATGGTAATAAAATATTCCTTAGAAATCATAAAAATTTACCAGCTTGATATATTCTTAACAACTTTCCTATCATAAACAATGTCCCAATGTAATTTTAATCAGGTAAATGGGCCACACCAAAACTTGTGTGTGTTCCATAAGTAGAGGCATCTTCAGTCTCAGAAAGTAGTTTTGCTATATATTTATCTCTTCCTTAATGGTTTCTAGTAAATCATTTGCAGAAAAACTCCATGGCTACCAATGATCTGACCTTCTGTGACCTGACTTGTTAAATTTTATAGTTCTGCTGGAGTTCTTCAATATGGTCATTAAGTAGCTTCCTGACCTCAGAACCAGCCCAGGAAAACTAGGGAAGCCTGTTGCTCACTTTGTGGCTACATAATTTAATTCCCTCATCCAATGAGCACTGTCTTCCTTCAGAGCCTTATCAAATACTGGTCCATATGCTCTGCCTACATCGTTGCTACCTCACCTTCTTTCTTGCCACGCTAGTCTTCATTCTTAAGGTTTTGGATACAAATTCCTCTGAGAAGCCTTTCTGATTCCTTAGACTAGTTTCTCCTACGACGCAGGATCACAGCACCCCATTCTTGCCATTCGCAGAACTCATCAAAATTGTAATTGAAAAACTAGATACTTAATAAATTTGTTAAATGGATACATTAACCCATGAGCATAAAGGAAACTTCTCTTGATGTCGATTCATACATTTGACTTAAACATTCTTTTAACATGATAGCATTCATACTGGAAATACTCAGCATTAAGAATTGTCACATAGAACTTGTTTTTCACACTGGTTCCTCTTATACTTTATCTCATGAATTAAAAATCAATTAAATTTTTTAAATCATACATATATTTCCTGATGAAGTATATAAATGACTAAGTAAGAATCTCAATTGCAATCTATTCTTGAGGCATAGCAAAAATATAATGAAGGTTGCTGTAGACAATTTACCATGTAGCCAGCATAGTCACCATCTGGTACAAAGGTTGAAATCTTAATAGTTACCTAAATGTTGTTCCCAAATCAAGAAGATTAGTTTGTTAATAGACATACTTTAAGCTTTTCTTTGTTGAGGGAAAAACACAAAGGAGCTTTTTGAAGTTTATGAATCTTAAATATGCATATTACACATGACAAAAATAAAGCAAAGACTATAGATAGGAAAGCCAGAAAAGGAATGCAGAGTTTTGCAGGAGTTACCTGACAATTATATCTAAATGCTATAATCAATACTCATACCACAAACACATGGGATGCGATGGAGTCAACGAGAATAAAAACCTACACCTATACTATAAGGCACCAGATCATCTTACCAGAAACTTTTTGTATTACTTCATTGACTTCCTTCATGAACACTTTCTGTACAAATACCAAGTGGTTCAGAAGATCAGTCGTGAGATTATGTTCAAAGGAACCAACCTGCCAAACAAAATTATATTAGATTAACACTATTGATTATATTAGTTTTACATCTTTTTCCTCAAATAAATCATCCAAAACTCTGAGGAAAAAGAGATAATTATCTATATACTATTTGAAGTTGATATACTGAAAAAGGGTTAAAAATACTTAAGAGTTCCTAATACTTTACTGGCCTGACACTGTTATGGGCCATTCCCCAAATATTTTTTTTTTTTTTTTTTTTACATAAAAGTAGTCAATAAGGTATGAGAAATCTTTCGAAGACAAATGGAAAATATACATGTAACCTGTTAATTTTGAAACTAAAATTTTGCCTAGATTAAAATTTATTTTTAATGATGACTTTTGTGGTCTTAGAATCATAGACAAGTATCATTATAAAGTAAAAACACATTTATTTACTCATTAAAATATATATTGACCATCTATTCTATGTACCATGCTAGGTGCTAAGGACATAGCTATGAATAAAAACAACAATCCCCAATCCCTAAGCCACAGCCTGGTACCAGTCCATGGCCTGTTAGGAATAGGGACATGCATCACCGCCTGAGCTGTGACCCCACACCCAGCCCAGTCCACCCCCGTCCATGGAAAAATTGTTTTCCATGAAACTGGTCCCTGGTACCAAAAAGGTTGGGGACCACAGCTCTACATAGATTTTTAGATTATCATTAATAATTATGTATACCTGAATGAATTACGTAAACTTGTAAAGGCTCAGTTTCCCTACTTATAAAATGAGAACAAATATTTCTACTCATAGGGTTCATTTAAGGACTATAGAAGTCAATGTGTATAAAGCACTTGACAAAAGTTAGCTGCTATTCGGTTTTTATAATCAAATGAACCATGAAAATATTGCAGAGATGGATGTTAAATACAATGTAAGGAATGTTAATTAAAAGATGACTAATATATATTTTAAAAAGCATGTTTAAATAAAACTATAGGGAGAAGGATAGGCAGGCAGGAACATAGATAGACAGACAGACAGACACACGTGCACACACACACCCTGATTTGGTTTAGCGTTCTTCTGTGGGAATAAATGATTTAATGCTTTTCCTTAAAAGTTTGGATCAGTACCTCTTTTAGTACACCTAAATCTTGAAGACTCCTAAATTACAAAGAATAAGAAAATTTAAAAGTAGACTTACTTCCGCCACACAACGGAGATAATTTCCCTGTAAATAGTAACCTTGTTTAGAAGGCAGTTCATCTATACTCCACACTTGATCTGAATAACTATCATGTTCTTCCATTATATATTTCCCTGACATAGTAACAGGAGGAAGGTTAAGACTGGCAGAAGGAGGAATGGTTGACATATCTGTGGCAGAAACTTTTGAAGTAAAACGCAGTCTGTGATTTGGCAGCTCAAATGTAAATCTTGTCTGTGCACCTGTAAGAAATAAAAAACATTATTGTCTATACAGATAGATGCTCATTCACTCATTCATTCCTCACTTTTTCCAAAAATGGTATGTAAGAAAGATGTATGGATATCCCAAAACTTACCTTAAAATTCTTAAGGTTTTGGATACAAATTCCTCTGAGAAGCCTTTCTGATTCCTTAGACTAGTTTCTCCTACGACGCAGGATCACAGCA